AACCTGAATTTCTAGTTCACCCTGTTTGCTGTTCATACTCTGTGCATTGGTGTATAAACATTTGAGTCCTTTGTGGGTGGCCCTGTGTTTCCTTTCTACATAGCCTGTGTGGTGCCTGAGTTCCCCTATTGTCTTACCACCTATTTGGTTAGTGCACTTTATGTGGCACTCGCTATTAGAGGCTTCATTTTGATTGATAGCAAGGTTGGTATTCTTGTCCACACACACATCTATGCTACATGCACTGATAGCCCTATAGTTTTTAAATTGCCGGGGACAGGGTTGTTCCGTATCAATTAACTCCCTGTCCCCGCTGTTTAGTTTAAATTTCCCTCCAGAAAATCTGTGAATTTATAGCCGAGTAACTCAGTCCCTTTTTTTGATGGATGCAAACCATCTCTTTTGTACATCTTTTGATTGGACCAGCTACTGACATCGTGACTAATATATCCAAAGCCTTCCCCTTTACACCACTCCTTTAGCCACATATTGAATTGTGCTATGCGCTGGCCTTTTCCGTTTTGCTCCTTATACACTGGTAAAACCTCTGAGAAAGTAAGCCTACAGCTTATTCTGCTAAGTTCCTTCCCCAAGCTCTGGAAATCATTCTGCACAGAGAGTACATCTTTTTGGGACAGATCATTAGTGCCAAGATGTACGATAGCCTCCACATCACAGTCCTTGCTGCCATTCTTGATTATTTTAGAAATACGTTTCTTGTCCCTGCTGGCAGTAGCACCTGGAAGACACCTGACCTCTTTCAAAGCCTCTGTGTCCTTTCCTAAATTTACATCCCTTATAATTGAATCACCTACCAGAAGGTAGCTTCTCTTTTTGGGAGCCTTTCTATTCTTGCATGACTGATGTGCAATACCTGATTCACACTTCTCCCTGTCAAAATCTAGTTCTTCATCTCGGACCACAATCCCCTGCTTATTTGAGTTATCTTCACAAATACCTTTACCAGTCTCCTTAATGTCCCTATTAAGGTCAGCAAGGGCACTGTAGCTGTTGTGCAGGGACACAGAGAAAGCTTTGTGTTTATGGTTCACAGCTCTCACCCTGACAGATCCCACGGTTGTCCACACTGCCCTTTTCCTGCAGGATCTTTGTGGTAAAGGGGGCTGATAGCAGGGAGGCTTACTAGAGTAGAGGGGCTGAGCTGGACACCTAATTTCTGCCCAAAGAGCACGGATTACAGACCCTAGGTAAATGATCTGTCCTTGTAGGCTAGTGATTTGTTTACAGATAGGACAGTTTCCAAGTTTGAAAAGGGTACTGCGAAAGACTGTTGCAAAGCAGGTGTTGCATTGAACTAAGCCGGACATCTTAGATACAGGGGATGTTAGACACACTTGCCCTGAATGTACTGCTACTGTTTGTGATTTTTAGTTATATAGTTATATAATTTGCGCGCCATTAGGCGCGCGGGCCGCTACTTTCCTGGTGGATTCTCCCAAAACTTACAGTTTAAGCAGCACCTGGTGGAATGTAGCACGTTCCAGAAACCCGATCAGAGTTGGAATGGGGTTTAAATAGAGTATAATACCCTATAAATATAATGGAGATCCAATCAGGGCCTTGCTACTTTCCTGGTGGATTCTCCCAAAACTTACAGTTTAAGCAGCAGCTGGTGGAATGTAGCACGTTCCAGCAACCCGATCAGAGTTGGAATGGGGTTTAAATAGAGTATAATACCCTATAAATATAATGGAGATCCAATCAGGGCCTCGCTACTTTCCTGGTGGATTCTCCCAAAACTTACAGTTTAAGCAGCAGCTGGTGGAATGTAGCACGTTCCAGCAACCCGATCAGAGTTGGAATGGGGTTTAAATGTTGGTTGTCACTTTTATAATGATGTCCAAGGCCAGTAACATACTTGGCAAAGTGATTTCCCATTTTCCTTTATGTATCAACCAATTAGATCTTATTTATTACATATCCATCTGCATTTATCTCACCAGTTATAGTTATCCAGGCATTTATCAGGATGTTTTTATTTGGCTTCTGCAGTTCCCATTGAGAGAGATAGCGTTGCTCTCCTTTCTTTCTGCATTTCCTCATCTCCTGTCACCTTGCAGCAGCTGCAGCAACATGAAGGCACTAGGAAAGGCTCACATTATAGCAATATCAGGCAAGATAAGTAGAGCATTGGTAAGAATTTGGAGGCAGGGATGGAAGTGGCCCTTCACACTACTGATAATATCTCATCAAAATAATTGGATCACGTGGACTCCCCCTTAGAAAAGACCTTCATGTGTATCTTTAACGTATGTAGTAACTTGGTTGTCTTGTAAGCAAGAACTAGTGAAGATTAAAAGTCATCAAATAGTAGAAGTGATTGCCTTCGACTTCTCTCTATAATTAAAAAGCTTCAGATTGGTACAGGCAAGGAAACTGGAGAAGCTCCACTCTTCTTGGCATTTACAATTAAGGGGCTCTTGGGATTAAGATCTGGCAGCCCTTGCTCCAAGGAGTGATATTACTGCTCACTCCTTCTCTTACATGAAGGTAAAAACACAGAGCACTTCTTCTTTAGTGGTATGTATAGAGAACATTAAAGGATCAGTCCTTTTCTCTTTGTGTTTTGAAAGTTCTTCTCGACAATTTTGAAATGTTTTCGATGTTATTTGTTCCCCAGCTCCTTCCCCTCCTTTCAGTAAGAAATGGCAATGAATGAGTGGTGGATGGTCATATGATCCTATTGCCATGGAGACAAATGGCAGCTGCAAGATTCAAGAACCAGGATGACAAGAGGACGGCCACATATCCTGCAAATTATTTATAAGCTGCTCTTTGTAAATTTATGAATCTGCATCGGAGTGCCTTGTTTAATTGTCACCTTGCCTTAGGTGGATTGAGGCATAGGATTATTTTTACAAATGTTGTACAAATCCTCAAAGATATGCAGTAATACAGGGCCAGGAAAGTGATTATAATATATGCCTAAATCAGGCAGTGTTGTAATTCACCACAATGTCCTTTCTCTTCAACCCAACTTCTTAGAATCCTGTAGACATACATTTTAGGCTCAAACTAGTGGAAGAAGATTGCTTGAAGATATTTTACTATTTTTAGTAAAAATTTCCATCCGGTGTATTCAAGGCTGCCTGCAAACAACCATCATGCATTGCATGATGCACTGATTAGTGGAAAATCCACTTCAACAGGTTCAAATGCAAAGGGTTAAAGGAAAAAGATGTTATCTGTCCATCAAGTAACAGGCAGAAGCAACTGAGGACTAAGAAAACTAAATGCCAGAGACCAAATCTGGAGGATGAGATTTCTCCCTCAGGGGGCTTTTCAAAGGAAACAAGAGCAAGCTTTCTTTTTTTCTTTGGGGAATTGTCTTTTGCCTCAGAGGCAGGCTAAAAGTCATATCAGAAGAAAGTCCCCAGCCAGCCACACCAGGTGTGGACTAAGGGGATTTGCACAGCAATTAGGGTCAGCAATGGTATGGTAGATAAGGTATAGTATAGGCTTATTTGTAGATTGATAGCTGGGCACATGTTCTGGTGTGTGCAGGCTGGATGGACACTAGGACTAAAAGGACATCCAGGTCTTGGGTCAATAGGGACTGAATCAACCTGATTAGAAAGTATTTGTTCATTCTTTTTTTTTTTTTTCCTTTTCAACGTTTTTCTTGGTCTATGAAGTTGCTAATTTAGCACATGCTCCCCATTCTAAAAGCAAGGAGTTGCAATTTACTTCCTTCTTGGTAAATCAGCTGGAAAAGAGATGTTCTCTGGAACAGGGTGGATGTTGGCAAGTTACTTGGCTGCCTCTCCCCAGAGCTGCAGGAGAGTTATGGGAAGAAAGTTTGCAGACCTGATATGGGAATCAGTGGGACCCAAGCTCCCATATCCCATGCAAATGCCTGCCTCATTATAGTTGACCAGCATTTAATATTCTTCAAATCAGATGGCCCAAAGCACCATTTGCAGAACTGTGGACTACCATATTAATACAGGAAGGAGAAGCTACATGACAATCTATTTTCTTCCTGTCTTTAGAAATGGGGAGGGGGGCATGTAAACTGAATAACTGAAGGAAGGAAGGCTGGAAAGCCTAAGATCTGGCAGCCTTAACCTTTTAGTGGAATTAAAGGTTAAATAGGAGTACTTTAAAGAGTTGGCTCTTCCTCCAGGCATTGGGGAATTGAGAAATTGTCTGGTGATGCTATTATAGTAAGAGATTTTGGCAAGATACTAGGCTATTCAGATATTCCTAGACTTACAACCATTCATTTAGCAACCTTTCAAAGTTACAATGGCATTGAAAAAATTGATTAACTAGTCCTTGTGTTTACGTCCATTACACCATCTCTACGGTCATGTGATTAAAATTCTGGTGCTTGGCAACCAGCATGTATTTACAAAAGCTGCAGTGTCCCAGGGTCATGCGATCACCATTTGTGATCTTCCCATCTAGCTTCCGACAAGCAATTGCAGTAGCATGGCAAAAAAGGTTGTAAAATTGGGCACCACTGACTTAACAACCACCTTGCTTAGCAATGGAAATTCTGGTTCCCGTTGTGGTGGTAAGTTGAGGACTACCAGTAATAAGATTTATTTGATTTTAGCTAAATGATTTATGCAATGGTTCAGTAATTTGTGCATATTCTTGGCATTTCCCCCTTTTCAGTATAATATGCCACTTTTATCTCTAATAAAATATCTTGTCCCACCTCCCCCCCCTTTTTTTTAACCCAGAGCTCTTAAAACTGCCTTTACTCTTGTAAATAAATGAACTTGACAGTTCAACTTTAGCCTGGAATGTGATACCTATTTACAAGAGGCAAAGAGAGGGGGGTATGTTTCTCAAGTGAAAAGTCTAGTCAATGTTAAGTTTTAAATTTGCATTATACATCACACAACACATTTTTTTTGTGAACAAAGGAACACAGAGCCATTCCCTTCTGATTCCAAAAGTGTGGTCTGGCAGAACCTGAAAATCCAACTATGAAACCATGGAACAGAGAAGCAGACTAGGGATGAAACCAAATGGGAATGGGCCAATTCATAAATAAGGGATGATAGAATGAATTGATTACATCGGTATTGTTCCTTCTCCTCTGGGAGGTCTTCCCTCAGATCGTTTTCCTTGACCAAAGTAGAGATGCCGACGGTGTGCAACTGGCGGCGGCGGCGGCTTCATGCCAGCCTTCCCAATGGCTTCGGTTACAACTCTCATCTACCCCAAGCAGCAAAGCCTTGATAGGATGCGGTTCACCTCAGATTCAAATTCCTGCCTCGCCAAGTTGGATTGTCGAAAAGGTCCTCTTTATTTTCAGTCGGGCAGAAACGAGTATACCAACGGCCATCAAAAGTCCCGCACGCGCTAAGGAGACAACCTTAGCTCTCAGGCTAATTGCTATTGGGGACCCTTTCCCGCAGTGTGTCAAAGCAGTCCAAGGCATTCTGGGAAAATCCCGCCTTTTCCCGAAAGCATCAGGTGTGGAGACGCCGACGGTCTCACTAGTGCGAGCGGCCGCCTGCTCAGCCAGCCGATTTGGGGCTTCGCTGTGGGTTTGGGGAATAGCGCCTCAGCGCTCCCGCCCTTTGTTTGGCGCTCCGTCCCCGTAAGGGCGCCTGGCTGATGTTGCCAAGAAAAACCCCGCTCTGTGCCCACTGACGCGCATCGCTGAGTGACTCAAACCTACGTCACCCCCGCCCAGGCAAAAGACGTGCGCCCTCCCCGGGTGAAGAAAGCGTCTCTGAAGCGCTCCCTCCTCACGACCTAGGCACTCGAGGCTTCGGTTTCCAGGACTAGACAGCCACCGAGCCAGCCGGAGAGGCGGATCCGGGGCGGCTGCTACGCCGTCCATCGCTATCAGAAAGGGTTTGGGTGGACCTCCGCGAACCGCACGAGCCGAGTCCTCCCAAGCGGCCAGAAGGACGCGAGCGGGGAGCTGCAAGAGGAAGACAAGGGGGTCGGGCAAACGCGGCGCGGTGCGCAGACCTGAGCAGCTGATGCGCGCGTCAGAGCCCGGAGCATTGAAGCCGCTCGCTTTCTAAGCACCAACTCCGCTCCGTTCCTGGACAAGTCGCTAAGCAGGTGCCTGGCGGAGTCCCTCAGCTCCCGCCCTCCCTCCCTCCCTCCAGGCGTTTATTTTTTTCGTCGCGGAGAAGTTCGCTGTGGCACAGGGTGGGCGACGGAGGGATCCGCGGCCAACCCAGGAAAGCAGCTGGCCGCCTCTAAGGGAAACGGGCATCTTGTGCCTCAGCCTTTTCCCCCAGGTAGGTACGGGCAGATTTCTGCTCCGCGCTTCCTCGCTTCTTTCCTCTTTCGTCTTCCTCAGATTCTCTTCCCAGCGTAAGCAGGACCCTCCAGCTTATTCCTCACCACCCAACCCCTCCCCCCCCACGCTTCTCCCGGGAAATAGACGACGAACTCTTAGTTGCTAGGCGAGAACGCAAGAGAAGATCTCGGGAAGAACCGAGGGGTTGACGGTGGAAAATGGCACAAGTCCCTCGGGGAGGGGGAGGTGCGCATCACCTGAAGCCTAAAAATAACAAGTGATGCGGAACCCAAGGACCCAGGCCTTCGCGCGCACCCTTGCGTCGCGTGAGTAAACAGGAGGGAGGGGAGAGCAAATGGCCCTTCCTTGAAGCCCGAGTAGGTCTCCAGCTTCCTTGGAAGCGCTCCGTCCCTGTGATGAAACCCAGATTTGAAAAACGGAGGAAGGAAAAAGTGCAAAGATCGCCTCTGCTGTCGGAGGTGTATTTGACCTTGATCTTAACATTGAGAAGGAAAGGAGAAATCAGTCCACCCTCGTGAATTGCAACTGGACAGAGCTCAAATCCTGTGCCTCAAGTTCTGCCTTCCTCCCGGTTGGTGATTTATAGCACAAGTCCAGTCAATTGAGGTGCTTAAATATGGACTGAAATAAGAAATGCAGGGGGGAGGGGGAATATAAACACAGATTTGGCTTACTTTTTTTAGTGTGCATTTGTAAAATGATTTGTTGCATCCAGTTCTGAAGCTATGGAAGGAAAAGAGACAGGCATGTATTTTACATTAATCTGATGCAGAATAATTTAAGAGGCTGAAAGTTAAAATTCTATGAATTCTAATGAAACATACTAAGGCCTTAGGAATTACAGGCCTCAATGTCTTTTCTTTTTAGAAACTGAGTTAAAAATAGAGACTTGTTCTGAATGTTCAATATTTTTCTAATATATATAGGTCACTGCTTTTAATTCTCCTATAGGCTATTGTCATACAACACTGCAGACTTAACTACAATCTAGCCAATTATATGTAAGCGTAATGTGTGGAAATGTAACTTCTGGGATTAGTTTATGATTCTGTTTGTCTTGTGAATCATGTGAACACAAACATTCAGTTGGAATGGTGTACTGTAGGTGAAGTCCTATCATATGTTTGTCTGAAATTAATCTGGAAAGCTTCTGTACTTCCTTGCTATTCCCTGTGCAAGATAAGACAGATGGGCAACTAAATACAACTTCAGTATTGATGATGAGGTAGCACTTCACCTGCATTTCAAAATATCAAGCTAGGTTGGGGAAAATATAGTAGGCCATGTAGCATCTACACTTCCATCCTCGAACTATTTATTGTTGCATGCCATACTCCAGTATATGCTGTCTGAGGCAATTGTTTCATTGTGTCTAAACAGAATTGGCTCAGAGCTGGAATCAAATGTTGAAGTGGACTAGTTTTTGTATGATCTGGATGACTTATTTAAATGGTATCTTCTGAAACCCAGGTGTCTTTAGGCTACCAAATGTTCTTTATATATTCCTCCTCTTCCAATGATATATGGACATTTTGGCTTCCATTCCTCCCTGAATGTTTGTCAAATTCTGGTTTCCTTGTGGCTACTCAATGATATATCTTTCACACCAACATTTCCCATTCCTCACATTAGAAATTCTATCTATTATTCATGCCTTGATTTGCCTGGACAGTTGAAGACTCATGTATCAGGAATACCAAATGCCTCTTTCTCATTCAGAAAACAATCTTTCCTAACCTAGGAAGAGGGTACTGAGTTTGGAAAGGCTATTTTAGAAAAGTGTAGTCCTGTCCTCTATTTAATGATAAGGGCATTCAGGCTGTGCAGCTCTCTGAACAAATGAATTTCAGGGCAACGTATTACTATAAATTAACACTTTGTGTCCTGATGATTTACATACTTGTGTTGCAAATTATAAAGTTAGATAAACTTTCCTCTAATTATTCAGTTAGATCTGTTTTGTTGCATAGTCAAAACATCTTACTATCCTGAAATCTATTTTAGCTGTTGATAAATACTTTTTTTAAAAGATTTCTCTGTCCAATTTGATACCCTCAAGGAAATATTAGAGCTTTCATGTGACTGGGTCAGCATATCTTCCAAAAACCCCATTCTTTAATGTGAGAGTCAATATATACAAGGTCTAAGAATTCTGGGACTGGTTCAGCAATTCACTCAGTATGCTTGGACTGATCCTGTTTTGATCCCATTTCTAAAATGATCCATGGTGATGGACCACACAAGGTTCTTTGCTGGCAAGAGTGGGATGAGGGTGAGCTAAAAACAGCACAGCACTTTGCTTAGTTAAAAGTGCCTAATGCATTATTAAACATACAGAAGCATTGCTGGGAGCCTGTGAGAATCATCACATAATTCAGCAGAACCATCTCTCCATCTGCCTCTCTCATCTTGTCCTTCCACAGAAGTGCCCTTTTTCTTTTTGGTGACTCCATGTCTTGTATCTGCAGCAGAAGATTTTGGCCTTCAGGAATCCTAGATCTCAGGGTAGTGCTGATTTTGAAATATGAGTTGGGGCATATGGAAAAAATTGCTAATCCTGGGAATATTAGCACATGCACAATCTTTCTTTTATATAACATAATTTATAAAGTCTGCGGTGGAATTGTCTTTCTTTCAGGACCAATCGAAATGTCACTAACAGACAAACTTACAAATTCTCCACAGCTCTTCAAGGGCTAGAGGTGAGGGTAAAGGGGAAGGTGTCTTTGTCATAAAGATATAAAATCAATGATGGTGCGAGATTTAGGATGACCCTAGAGAAAGGATATAGACTTAGTTGGATTATACCTTCCCAGGTACTATGCAGGTTATACCTTTAGGGAAAATAATACACATCAGATAAGTTAATTGCTTCTATCCAAAAATATATAATCCTAAAATTACAGTATCTAATTCTGTTTTCAGCCTTAAATAAAATTCACAAATTACTTGTTATAGAAGGACAATAAAATACAATGCTAATTTTTAATATCACAAAGATGGTACTTAATTTTAAATATGAAACATTGTTAGCACAGTTGGGAAGTAATAGCTAATAGATCTAAAGCACTGGTATTTCTAAATTTACTATAATAATGATGATGCTCTTTTCTTGTTAAATGCCCTGATTTTAACACTTAATCCTTGCGACAGTTTTCCATAGAAAGACTCACATAGTTTTATACATTAGAATGCCTGTTCTTTGGCTCCAAGTCAAAAATATCATTTTGTAAATATAATCATAGCATTTAGTAAGTCATATGATTAGTGGCTTTCGCTGCCTTCATATAACAGGGTCATATTGTTGGTGCTCATGAATGCTTTCTATAATACCAACAAGAAATAAATATAGATTGTGTTAGATGAATTGTCTCATTTTTTTTTTTTTTTAGACCACTGATGTTCCTGTGGAATTTTCTCCCTTCTCCTTTTAAATGAGAGAGGAAGGAAAGACTTTTATAAAAGCTTCTGAGTGGGGATTGAAAGCATTCAAATATATTTTTCCAATTCGTTTAACTCATTGTTTCCCTGCTGAACCTTCACATTTTACATTGTTAAATAGGCATTGGCTGTAATCAATAAAATAGAGTAGCAGTGGGGTTGTGTAAATGGTGCTACTTTCTATTTTCAGTAGTACAATGGTTAATAATAAATGTGCATTATATTTTAGCACGTAAATGAGTACTTTTTAAAATTGTATTTATACTTATAACAAACTTGCAGGATAGGTAATTACTATTAATGTTTTACATAGAGAAGTAGGATTGGGAAATTATGTTCTCAGGGATACCCAATGAATTAATGACTAAGCAAGGACTTTTCCTCTGATCTTCAGGGTTCTAGATTATTAACAAATTTCCCCAAACTGGTGCCCACCAGATATGCCAAGACTACATCACTCCAGTTCGAAATCAACATCATTGTGAACCATGCTAGCTGGGAATTCTGAAGATGATATTCCCACCATCAGTAAGGGGAAGGATATTATTGTTCCTCCTTTGAAAGTTATTCTGTGAAACTGCTAGTGAAATCAAGGAACTGGGTAGATACTATGCTTTTAAAAATTGCATTAATTAAATACATTATGAGAAAGACCTGTACATCACAATCCATTTAAGCTTGCAAAGCAGACAGATTTAATGTATATGGATAATAAAAGTGAGTCCCATATGTCAATCACAATGCATTTTTTTAATTATTATTTTTCAGAGAAAATATTACAGTACTTAGGAATATTCCAAGGTCATGTGGTGAACAAGTAAGGAAGAGTTTAGAAGAAAACACAACCAATTAGTACATTTAATTAATTTATGTAATAAATTGTTTTGTTTTTTTTTTTAAAAAAGTTTTTATTTTTTTTTCCATTTGTACATCATACAAAATACAATTTTGGAATAAAATAAATTCATAACCATTGGTACCGCCTGTCCATTCCCCCCAGGCCACGTCCACCCGCTCTAAAACCTTCCCTACTTTCCTCCTCTTTCTCTCCTCCCCTCCTACTCTCTTCCCCTCCCCTTCTCCTCTTACCATCCTACTTCCTCCCTACACCTTCTTCTCATCTCATCCCTCTCAAACACATGAACGCAGCATAGGGGAAATGCCCAGGCCGCACCTTTCTTATAAACTACCATATCTATATGATCCTTACCCACCCACTCTTCCACCCACCCACCCCCAACCCCCCTCCCCTCAGTTCCCAGAGCAGAATACAGGGTTATTAATGACAAAGTTGACAATAAAAAAGAAAAAGAAAAAGAAAAAAAGAAAAAAAGAGAAAAAAATATCAAACTTAACCTTTAACTCCAATAACATCATAAACAAATCTCTATAACATTTACTATAAAATTCACTCGTAAAATAAATGAAACTTTATAGTTCCATACTTTTTCTGAATATAATCTATCCATCTTCTCCATACAATAATATATCTTTCTTGTGTATGATCCTTCAAATAAGCAGAAATTTTTGCCATTTCTGCAAAACTAGAAACTTTAAATATCCATTCTTCTAAGGTAGGCAAGGAATCTTTCTTCCAATATGAACCTACTAGTAACCTTGCCGCGGTTAATAAATTCAACATTAAAGTAGTTTCTTTATCATTTAGATCCACAAAAATACCCAATAAAAATAATTGAGGAGTAAACTTTATCTTCCTTCTAAAAATCTTTTGAATGTTCCACCAAATCATAATCCAAAAAGCCTTTACCTTTTTGCAATTCCACCAAATGTGAAAATATGTCGCATCCTTATTGCCACATCTCCAACATTTGGGCTGTATATTAGAATACATACAAGATAATTTTTTAGGATCTAGGTGCCATTTTCTTGCCTTAATACATCTAGCGATTTTAAATGCCAATCCAAACCTGACCAAATTAATAATTCTTTATACGAAATTCTATCAAAGTTCATCCCCTTGGAGGTTCCCTCAATTGCATGTCTGGGAATCCCCCAGATAGGTATTTTATAATTTAACCTATAATAATACTTTTTCCAAACACGAAGTAAGGCATTCCTCAGAATATGTGATTTAAAAATCCGGTCGACTTTCTTATTAAAAATTAAGTATGCATGCCAACCGTACATTAAATCCCAGCCTTCCAAAAAAAGAATATCCTTATTTGTTAAATTAAGCCAATCACTTATCCAAGTTAAAGCAGCTGCATCATAATATAATTTCAAATTAGGTGCCTTAAGTCCTCCTCTTTCTCGGGCATCTTGCAAAATCTTAAACTTAACCCTTGGTTTTTTCCCAGCCCAAATAAAATTGTTAATACCCTTCTGCCATTCCTCCAAGTTTCCCTTTTTTAAAAAAATAGGTATCATCTGGAACAAGAAAAGAAACTTTGGTAGAACGTTCATTTTTACAGCTGAAATTCTCCCCAACAATGACAATTGCAATTTTTTCCAATCCTTTAAATCCTTTTGTACTTTTGCCCATAATGGTTCATAATTGTTCTTACACAATTTTCCATTTGAAGCAGTTAAATATACTCCCAAGTATTTAACCTTTTTTACCATCTGAAAACCTGTAGCTTTAACCAGACTTTCCCTATCCTTAACTGACATTATGTAATAAATTGTTTATAGGGCCTGACTTTTGATACACCCTGTATTTTTATAACTGTATAATTTATTCTAATCTATTTAATGATGCGGAAGAGGCCAAAACAAACCACATAATTAAAAAAACATCACTCACTCCTGTGAAACTTGCTCCTGGATATTTGATCCAGGATTTTTTTTTAAAGTTATCTTTTTAATCTTAAAGGGCTAGCAAAACCTTTCCTCCACTAACAGCTGAAATGTATTACTATGCCAAATTCCATGCCAATTTCTACTCATGCATTTAAGAACTGCAGGTACTACATTCATTCAATAAATAAAGAGGCTTGTGTATGTTTGCTGTAAAACAGACGTTTTACGGGCAATACTCCCTAAAGCATGAACATGTGAATCAAAAGTGCTATACAAACTAGTACACTTTAATGTGCAAAATTAGCTAGAATGATAAGTTTATGATCTCGGCATCTATAAAAGGACTTAATGACAGTGCTATATGGGTTGTTTTCTTGAACAGCTCTTGCTTATTTAAATCTGATTATAGATCTCCAACTGGATTGTGCTTGAAATAAATAAATTGGAAAGCAGCCTACTTTTCCTTCACTGTTCAGCTTTGTTTATTATGTCAATACTTTTGTTTTTTTGTTCCACTCCTGGCAGACATATTAATATTACTGTGGCTGTTTCACAGTCAATAGCACTAGCAAACATTCACTTAATAGTTTTCTCTAACTAGGTGGCTTTAAAATATGTTGGCTTCATCCCCACCCCTACCTCAATCTCCAATCAAACAGGACCATGAGCTGTTTGACTGCAAAACATGTTTTGACTGCAAGTTGAAATCCAGCACAGTGGGAGAGTATAAACTTGATAAAAGCTGTATTAAACATTAAGAGGAATTATCAGTGCAATGATCTCAGAATTACAAACTAGTCCTCAAAGTTGTATTCCTGCAGCAATTTGAAATGATACTACTGTATATGCAAGGATATATAAGTAGGTACAGAGCATATAGAAAGAGGTTCCTCGTGTATATTTACTCTGCTTGATTCAGAAGAAATTAGCTACATGCAAATCTACACACAGCATAGATAAACTCATGAGGGAAAGGGGAAAATTAGATTGCCTTAGTCATACTAACAATACCTATTAATTATAATAACATGCTTAGAAGGTCTTACATTCCAGTTTGGATAGAAAAAGTCTTATTCTTGCCAAGAAAAGCTGTCATTTTTATATGTAATAACACTGCTGTAATTTGCATGATGGTATGGGAATAGTTTTATAGAGTTAAGGGAAAATAGAGGTTTCTAGTGATACTTGAGAAAAGCAATAATTGAAGCTCAGTGGAGGTAAAGTATGCTCAAAGACTCACTCAAAGACTCAAGCTACAATAATACATTTGTTATTCTTTTAATTGCCACACTATTGTTTATTCTTTTTATTACAGTTGTTTTGTTATTGTAGTAATAGCTTTTGCTAGAAGAATCAGTACCAAGGATAGCAACATTCTGTTTACAAAAAATTATTGATTAGCATTAGGGCCAATCTACTATATTTTTCTTGTCTCAAGCTTCAAGTGTCAAATGCATTTTCTATGTGGCTGAAAGAATCGATTTTATTTATTTTACATAGTCGCCAATCTCGTGAATGTGACTCTGAGTAGCGAACGATTGAATTATAAAAACCTTTCACTCTGCCTATGAAGGACTGGTTCTTAAGACTTTGTCAGTTAAGTTATAGTAGTCTGTACTGCCACTCAATAAAATATATCACATTTTTTATGGTTTTCATTAGATGGGACAATAACCAACTACTTATATGAATATCAGATATTATCAGATATTTATTATAATAGTAAATTTATTTAACATTTGACAGCCCAACTCTAGGAAACAATTTAAGCAACCCTTGCCCTCCAGCTGAGCTCATTGACCAAGGACCCAGCATCTGAATGTAAAAGAGAATGCTAAACACTGTGCATTTCCTGAATATCAGTACACAAAGAATATGCATTAATAATAAAATTACCATTCTACTCATAAGTTGTTTTATGTCTTCCTAACTGCTCTATGCATTGAGATGATTCTTGAGATATTCAGACCAAGAGAGATGTAAACCTAAATTTTATAATGACTTTTTCACAGAACCTTGGAATATTTTGAAGAGAGGGTATAAACAACCTCCCAAATATTCAGGGAGAGAACATTTTTTTAAAGCAGATATCTGCAGGATTGTTTAACTGATTGACAGCAAAAAAGGAAATTTTAAAATGATGTACTCAGATAAACTATGGAGTAAATATGAATGTATGTAATAAGAGGAGAAAAAAACATGGTATGTTGTTGGGACAATGAACAGGGAAGTGAACATATTCATTCAGAATTTTCAGAAATCAGATCAAAATTCTTGGGATCTCCAAATGCATAGTCTATAACTGTTACATAGTTTTATGTGAGTGGTTCAAAAATATAAGAGTCTATTGAAACAGAAGTCTAGCACCAATTTTGATTGGTAATATTTGTGAAAACCAGTTCAAATAACAATGACTTCCAGAAGTGAAGTGCCAATGGATTTCTGTGGTCTCACAAGGGAATAGAAATGCTTAGCAATAAAATATTTAGGACTGTTTTGCTTCCTCACCTCATTATTTCATTCCTTTTAAGAACTCTCATTTTCCCATCCAGGTCCATGCTATTTTAGGCTGCTGGTTGCTAAGATACATTAACAAGTCTTTGAACTTGCTGTATTGGTAGTACCTGGGACTGATATATACAGTCAATTGCAGTAATTTCCCCAAATTAAATTGAAATTGAATGTTTGTACTAGAATTTAATTTGGTAAAAGTTTAGGTTCTCTCAGTGCTTATGTCATTCATTGCAGGGGTGCACAGCCTTTGCTTAGTGCAATGTAATCTTTAAGCCATTCAGTCTTTAAAGCAGAACAACTGAAGAATTAAGGATTCTCCATAGCTATGATATTTATGAACATTAATCCCTGGAACAGATAGAAAACTCTCTCCTCTTCTTTCTGAATGCTGATATTGATTTAAAATATTACACAATATTGATGCTTCCATATCACACACTCAGTAAGAAGAATGTTTTGCCATATATAGTAGCACTTTCCCTTTTCTTATTTCACAGGGTTGAGAACAACTGAACAGTCACCTTCCCATCTACAAAGCACAAAAACACATTACAGGGAAAATATTAAATTGGATCATTATTGTCACTGCTATTACAGGTAAATTATTAAAGGAAGATAAATCCACAAGAATAATCCTGTTTAAGATTAGCCTAATTGGAATTCTACCATGAAAATCCATCTTTTTGTATGTGCTCAATTAACCTAAATAACATAAGATTACTAGCTTTGCATCCTTAATAATGTGAAAACTTTTATCTAATGGCTAAGTCATTAGAATGAGCAGGACCTATTCTATAATAAATCAGTCTTGAGCACCTCCATTTACTTTCTGGGCAAGATTTAGATTCAGTTAGCTTACATATATTACTTTCAGTTAGCTTAATATAAACTAGTTTATATACACTAACAATTATGTTTGTGTGTGTATAAACAATATATTGATCATTGATCAAATTATCTTATGTGTTGAATAAGCACTTAATATAATGACAAGCCAATAAACTAAAATTTAGTTTATTTCATCTTTCAGTTTGTCAGAAAGATCTTTGTGCAGCCATACTGGTTTCTTCTTGAATTTCTTGTTTTTCTTTCTCAATGGTATTGTGCTGGTCTGGGTGTTTATGATTGCATTTTTCAGGGTTTCCCACGCTTCTTGGGTTGTTTTCCCCTTTAGCATTTTCATCCATGGGATCTTTCCTAGGTTCTCTCTGAGTTTGTTAAAGTCAGCTCTTTTGAAGTTTAAGATACTGGTTGGATTGTTTTCTATTGCTAGTGTTTGTATTATACTAAATTCCAGTATGACGTTAGAAATCTATTTCATCTCCCACTCACTGCAGAGTTTGTCTCCCAGTTGATATCTGGATAGTTGAAGTCAGTGGTGGGATTCAAATATGTGAACTACCAGTTCTCTGTGTGGATGCCCCTTCTGGAAGTCCATTCTGGGCCTTGGCAACACAAAATTAGCTACTGGTGCAAATCGGCTGAATCCCACCACTGGTTGAAGTTTCCTATTATTACTGTGGTATGTTTCCTACATACGTTTGTTAACTGGTTGGCAAAGAGTTCATCTATTTCTTCTGATTGGTTGGGTGGCCTGTAATATACACCTATGGCAATGTCACTTTTTTTTCTCTTTTAGATTGACCCATATACATTTTGGACAGATTTTATCTTTGATCACGTGAATTTCCGCAGATATGTAGTGTTCTCTTACATTTAGTGCAACTCCCCCTGCTCTTTTTGTAGACCTGTTTCTTTTGAACAATTTGTATCCATCCATCAGTCCATTCCATTCATGGGTTTCGTCCCACCAGGTTTCTGTTGTGCCAACTATGTCATACCCTCCTTCGTGTACTATAACCATCTTCATTTGTATATAAGATGTTAATTTTCTAGTTTAAAATATTTTTAAAAATAATATGTAGAATATCAGATGGAGCAGAAAGCCTTGTTGGGCACCAAATAAGTTGATGGTGGGCTTACTGACACTCATGGGGACCTATTGGTTATGGTTTTGTAGAATAAAGTGAATGTTATATTGAGGAGCAACCTCAGTTGCTCCAAACTATATGCAAGCAGGAAAGTGCTAGTGAAAACAGCTTTTTAATAATCTCATTTTAAAATATGTTTTCAGGGAAATGAAACTGCATCCATCTTGAAATAGTTCAGGATCAGGAACTCGGGTGCATACATTGAAAGGTGGGGGACTGCTCCCTGTTCAGTTGGGGAGGGTTTTCTATTGAAAGATGATAATTCTTCTTGAATGGCAAAGCCAAATAATCAATGGCTTCGCATGCAATGCCAAACACTTCACAGATACTATCTGTTGTACAAGTGTCACGGGCAATTTAACAGAAGATTTCTGGCCATTCTAGTTACTCTGATAATGTCAGCAACAAAAAGATAACTTTAATGTTGGCTGCTCTTATGTGAGAACTGCCAAAGCTTGGTCTGCTCTTTACTGCCGCAATATTTTAACCTAAATAGCTTCTGACACATTGTTGGCATTGCATACACTTGGGAAAAAATGTTAGATTAAAAAACTTTTGTAAATCCTCAGATTTTCAGTGATTGGAGAAGGAGACATCAAAATGAATGGTGGCTAGTTATGAAGTTGCTTTATAGCTTAGAGGGGGAACTATGGATCACTATGACCTTAAACCCTCTTTTTGGTAACCCCTCCACCCCACATGTATTGAATTTCAGTAGCAAACCAATAAGAAATTGAAATAACTATCCAAAGTTTTGTTGGAAATAATGAAAAACAAGTGCATGATCTTCCTTTAGGCTTGAAATGAAATGAAATTTTCATATGCTTTTTGCTTAATATTCCCAAGACAGTGAATGTTCTTAAAATTAATTAAATACTTGATATTGATATTGGAATAACCAATTATCCCAATATTGGTACCAAGAAAAGCTACTACCTGTCCTCATTGTGCAAATACATTATCATATTGTATATAATGGAATGGTTTCTACCAAAAAATTCTATGTATAAATTCTGTCTCCTATATCATCTATCCAGCCCTATCTTTTATGTCCACCAAGAATTGCCAGCATCTTTTCAAGCATTATGGACTAGGAAATTGTTCTTTAAGAATGAAAAACTAAAACTGATGGACAATTGATTCTTGTAGCTAATCTGCACTATATGATTAAAGAATGGTGAAGCACACATGGGTAAGTCAGCAGTGGAGAAAGTGGTAATACACCCTACCATATTTTAATTTGGTTTCCTTTTTGTACTATTTTGCAGGTCTCACACAAATGACTCAGATCTGATGTGTTATCCCTAAAGCCAGCACTTGCCCTTTTAAAGTTTTATTTCATCTGGCCTTGAAATAAATCTATAAGTGACTACACCAGATCATCTCAATGCCTAAGACCAGCAAAGTAACTCAGCGAGAACAGAGCAATGAGCCTGTCACAGAATCAGTGGCTGATCTGCTGGCTCTGGAGGAACCTGTGGACTACAGACACAGTGTCTTAAATGTGGCTTCAGAAAACTGGAACAAACAGCAGGTTGGGGAGGAAGCAGAGGATGACAGACCAGCGTGGAACAACAAGCTACAGTACATTTTGGCTCAAATAGGCTACTCTGTGGGCCTGGGGAATGTATGGCGGTTTCCATACTTGTGCCAAAAGAATGGTGGAGGTAAGTGACCAAGAAAGAAGAAACAGTGCTCAACAGACAAGGCCTCTGCTCTGCTTCTCTGCTCTAATGTAGAGGAAAGGAGGCTATTTTGCCTTGATTCGCATGTTATGGTAACTACATGTATACACCCTTCATCCTCCATTATTAGCTGGGCTGACCAGATTTTCTAGTTTGAAAGCCAGGGGTTCTCCATCCTTAGCTAACCCAGAGGGACTCTTCAATTTTAGAGGAGCATCTTTTCCAATTTTCTCTGTAAAGGCAGGTAAAATTTATAATCCACTATTGAGCGACAACTGTTTCCTTGACTGTATGGTAAAGCACATTACTTTAAGTGTATGCCCAAATAATTTTTCTTGTATTTAGTTTGTATTTAGTCTGTTTATTGCCCCCCATCATAAACACCCAGAATCACTTTGTAAGGGTGATGGGTGGCATAGAAATGCAATAAATAAAAAGAAAGAAAGAAAGAAAGAAAGAAAGAGAAAGAAAGAAAGAAAGAAAGAAAGAAAGAAAGAAAGAAAGAAAGAAAGAAAGAAAGAAAGAAAGAAAGAAAGAAAGAAAGAAAGAAATCCACAAATCTGGTTTGGCTCACAATAATAAAACCAATATCTATAAAACTGTAAACCATAACAATAAAAATAAAAAACAAAAACCTGGCATCTCAGTCATTCCCTTGGGATGCTCCACAACCAGCTTCAGGTATCTTCATATCTGATATCCTTGTAGAATCAAAAGGGCTCACAGACAAATAGAAGCTGTTATCCTAAATCAAACTTTTCATGTGTTAATACAGATTATTTCCCTAGATTATTTTGTAATTCCATCAAGTCTCATGTTTTGATAAAAAAACCAGCATGATTATCTTAGAAATATTAAATATTTATTTATTAAAAACTCTTCTAAACTAGTAATAATTTTAGATAGATTAATCCAGCTGAGCCTTCTATGATTTAAATTTGTCAAGTTAGTTGTGATATACAATATTAATTGTTTAATTTATATTTCAGGTATACAATAATTTATGATTTATCAACTTTTAATTAATGTGTTTTTTATAATGTGATTCTTTTTTATTCTCTCCAACCCACTGGATAGTTGGAAATGAATTGTGGCTCAGGACTCTGAAACTCCAAAACTAGCAGGGAAATTAATTTGGTGGGAAAAGCTAGCAAAAGAAAGATCAAGTTTGAAAATGGGCTGCATCCTATTACTACGATCCATAGACTGCACACAAAGAAAATATAGGTTCTTCCTATATGGGGAAAAATTTAAGAACTCATGCTTAGCACTCTGTTGCTACCTTTTGGGGGGGGATGTCCCCCTAATATTGTATGATTATTAATGTATGTCTGAGAGCAAAAAAAGATTAATTTTCCAACAGAGGAGCAGAAAGAAAAAAATGGTGATTGCTTATATTTTCATGCTACACTTCACCAGAAATAGAAAGATGAACATTACTTTCAATTTTGACATTTTTCCTTTGTTTTGGTGTATTTTACAGTCTAGTTAAAGCTAGTAGGTTAACAAGAGTTAAATAAACAGGCACCCACCAGAATCCCCAAAGATGTCACACACATCATGCCACCCCACAAATGACACAAGTTTATTATATCATGTATCATTATGCAAATGACATATAAATACATCATTTGTATAGTGTATCAAGATGTGTGATGTCACATGCTTTTTTTCCAAGGGAGGGGTCCCTGGTGCCCCAAAAGTTAGGTTGGGCATTTTATAGTTGGATAACATCAAATATGGACAAGCTAAAAATGTGTTTAGTAAAGACAAAATTGAATGGTGGAACCACCATCAAAATCATCAGTAACTGGGCCATACTTGTGATATACTAAACTGTAGAATTATTAATGGGACACAAACTAAACTGGACAGCTTGGATAAAAAAAAAACCAAGAAAACTGATGACTATTCCATATACATTACATCCCTGTGGTGATGTTGATAGATTATATTTGCCCTGCAGAATTAGAAGCAGAGGTTTACTTCAAGTCAAACAAGAAGAAGAAAAGTGTGCATTGGCTGATTATGTAAAAGACAATCAAGAACAAGCATTGATGCAAGTTCAAAACTGGAACTTGCCTAATGTACAGGAAGTTAAAAGTGACTATCACAATAATGTAATAAAAATATGAACAGAATGCTATCAAGGAAAAGCATTACATGGTCAATTTCTACAAAAGATTGTGGAAAAGTGGATAAAAATAAAATCTGGCAATGACTTACAACTGAAACATTAAAAAAAATAAACTGAAGGCTTGTTTGTTAGGGGCACATTGGATGCCATACCCAGAAATCTTGGACAGTATTGAGAAAATCTGCACATTGACAAAATTTTCATCAGTCAATTGTAAAAGCTCACACTGCTTGGATCGGCATATATACTAACTATGCCAATTCCTTATGACATCCTAGGTTCTTGGATAGAATTCAGTGTGTATGAAGGCCAACACCAGTTAAAGAACTGGCAGCTGTGACTTCTCATTGTTGTGAACAGGTTCTTGAGAAGTACTTGATAGGTGGATAAAAATGCCAAACCCAGTCTAAATATCTGGCTGACTGGGAAACCAACCAGCCAGATATAGTACCAATAGTAATAGATGCCTTGGGTGCAATCCCAAAACATCTGGGGAACCATTTGAATATCATCTGCATTGACAAATTCACCATCAATCAATTACAAAAGGCAACTCAACTTGGAACAGCTTACATCCCACAATGATACCTTTAACAACTTCAAACAACAACATCTGCCTATCCCAGATTCTTTGGAAGGACTCAATAGGTGGCTAAAATGTCAAATACAGTCTAAATATCTGGCTGTGTGACCAATTATAATCATTATTAAATTTATATGCCCCCCCCACTCCCAACAACTCTGGGAAGTTTACAATTGATAAAAAAGTTAAAAATGAGAAACAATAAAAAAAACCTTACAAAAACAGCACCAGAAAAAAATGATGGCAAAGAAAACAAACTTGGAGAGTAACAAAAAGGAAGAAAGGGGCATTGGTTGCATTGCTAGTGGCATGGGCAAAAAGGGCTTCTCAAAATGCTAATGTCAATGCTGCAAATACTGTATATTCTTGCTTTGACAATATGCAAAACTGTCTGGCATTTATTGGGTTAATACTTAGCTTAGACTGGGCGGGGGAAAAAAGCCCGGGAAAGAAAGAGGAAGTAAACGTTTGACCTTCTCACTAATTGGATAATGTGACCTGTGACTGCATGAGAAGGGAGGGGTTGAGCAAGGAAAGCTTGATGCCAGCGACCGGAAGTTCAGATTCTGGCATCAATTAGTCCAATGGTGACCGGCATAATTTGTAGCTCTGCAAATAAAGACTTTAGGAAACATGCCTGAAAGTTCTTTGAAGTGCTTCATTAGTCGGAACTTGTGACAGTGGGAATCATTTGAATTGGGTTTGTGTGTGTGACTTCATTTCTTTGAATTGTAACCTTCCTTTCTTCTCTGGTTGAATACCCAGAGTGGTTAGTATTATAAGTAACATGATTAACACATGTTAATGCATCACACTGGAGATGGTTGATCGACCAATAGCAGATTCTACTATCCCCCTCTGGGCTCATCGTACAGCTTCCTGCCCCATCTTCTAGTCATAATTTGTAATTTGCATCTTTTACTGCAGTTCGATATATGCATCTATATGGCTTTATTGCGGTGACTATTGTAAGCTTCCCATAGTCACCTTGTGTGAGATGGCAACAAACACATCAAATAAATAAATAAATAAATAAATAAATAAATAATAAACAAACAAATAAATAAAAAACATGCATGCATACATACATACATATTAGATTAGCCATATTTTTTTTAAAAAATTTTTTTAAAAGAACCTTGCAAATTCACAGATCTCCTAAAAATTGGGTGGTTGGGGGGAGTTCAAACATATGAACTATAAGCTGCCCAGAGTCATTTGGCTGAAATGGGCAGCTATATACATTGGATAAACAAACAAACAAACAAACAAACAAATAAATAAATAAATAATTCTAGAGCAAATGCATTTTGTTAGCTGGAGAATAATGTAGAACAAAATTCTCTTTATCAAAAAATGTTGGTGCATTATATTTTGCAATTTACATTATAAAAATAATGTTATTTTTGTAATTAACACATTTAATTTTGGCAGACAGTGTCATCTTTTTTCTGCTAAAACATTCAAATTGTTTTCATGCATAATCCAATATACATATGCTGCATAGAGAGAACAGTTTTCTGCTGAAAGTATGTGGCTCTGGGCCAGTTTTTTTATTTTTTTAGAACACTGTGTGCTCAGGAGCTGACAAAATGATGCTGCATTGGTTGAACATTTTAATGAAATAAAGCACCTCAGTTGTTCAGCTAAATGTGCAAGCCAAGTTTATATCTGCTAGTTGTAGCTGCTGATCCTCTACCTCTTTGGTATGTACTTTGGTTCTTGCATCTGATTCTAGAGTTTATCAGCTTACTGATTTCTTAGAATTTGTTTGAAATTCTGACCATCTTAGTATATTGGGCCGCTGGAATGTTATTGACTAGAGAATTCCTGTTTTTTGGAAAATTATTCCTGCCTTTATATCTTTTTTTCCATCATGGACTTGAAGAAGATAGATATAGGGTAGTTTGCCATCTGATCCCTGAGCATGTTCAGAGTTTTCATTAGGTTACTGTGTTATGTGTATTTGAAATTTTATGAAATCTACTCCCCAGGTGAGTTCACCTGGCATCTTCCTTATTAACCTTTAAACTCAGATACAGACTTCTTTTTTAACATCAGATTTTTTAAATGAATGATTATGTTGTGTTTGTATGCTGAAAAATATCTGCAGTTTCCTTTCCTTTTTAAAAATTTGCACTCAATCACCTGCACTTCTGATGCTCATTTTATTCTTTTGGATTGCAGTCCAGCAGACTACTGATAACAGAAGATTCATGGAATTATATTGTTAGTTTGCTGTGAATCATTTGTTTCTGGTTCTATTTTCAAGCATTTTGATTTTAAACCATATTTATTATTAACCACCCTAAGATTTTCTTTAATATTTAAAAGCTGAGAATCCAGTCTCTACATAAGTAATACAAAGTGCAAACATACCTGCCTTTATCTGAGAACACTTTTATTGATTATAACTCAATAAAATTGTACTGCCATTATCTTGAATATTGTGCTTCAGCCTTTTGTACTGAATATCAACTCATCCGAAAGCTTCATCTATGAAATCATTTTTAAAATACGTTTATGCAGGCGTTCTCAGCTTATACAGGTCTCTGGTTATGTGCAGTCCTAAGCAACCACTTATGAAGCTCACCTTGGCCACAGCCTTTCCTCACTGTTGTCCACATTTCTACTTGTCTACTCACTGGTGGACCACCAGAGAGTGCTGTTGTATTAAGAAGGAACCTTGCCACATATTTGTTTTCCAAGCAGTTTTGGGAAAGAGGATTTATATATTTTATATATGTGTGTGTGCACACCTGCATAGCAATTTGACTGACCTTTTCATTCAGTATTGATCAAAGTATGAAGCAGCTTAGCAATGAATGGTGGTTTTATTGCTGTGGGGAATTTTATGGAGATTCATTTAAGATAGCTATGTAAAGGTTTATGCATTAAAGGTATTTCAGAGTTATATTGTTTTCCTGTCACCATGGAGGAAAAACATACTGTTATTTGTTGGGTCAGTGGGGCTTTTCATCAGAGCTTTCACAGGTGTGAGAAAAATTGGGGTTGGGGGGGTTAGCTTCCTCAGAGCTGTGGCAAGCATTGTCCCAATAGTATTTGTGCGGATGCCTTATTTATTTTTTTCCCCTTATCTGGCTATTCTGAATGCGAGGGAGGTTTTTAAATCCTGCTGATGCTGAATGTGCTTGGAATATTAATAGGCGGGAGGGCTCAATTTATGTTAGTGGGCAACTTCCAGCGTTCATATTTTTAGACTTTCTGATCAGCTATTTAAATTTCTTAATCTACCCAGTTGATTCCTTTCTGTCCATTTAACCTAAGAATTATAGTGCTGCTGTTTTAAGAATCTTTTATGGAGAAGTTTCATCTAGCATTTCCAGGAATTATTCTTTTTCAGCACAGAACTGCTGTGGGAACAATAAATGCAAAAGGCAGCATATAATTATGGTAGATATGAGGTTGATGAGGACATTGATTGGCTCAGATAGATTGCTGAGCAATATTTTGCTTAACCATTATTTATTAAATAAATCACATCTGGCTGAGCTCACATCACATGCTGAGCTAGAAAATATGTTAAAATGTACATTGTGCTGAATCAGAACGAGACAAAGCATATTATTATTATTATTATTATTATTATTGATGATGATAATGATGATGATGGAAGGGGCTTTGGAGGTCATCTAGTCCAACCCCCTGCTCAGGCAATTTCAGAAAAATGGCTGTCCAGTCTCTTCTTAAAAACTTCCAGTGTTGAATGTCTGTCTGAAAATGATAATGGAAGATAACCTTACAAACACGCATGCACATTTATTGTAAAAAGCTTACTCATCCATCCACCCATCAATTTATATGCTGCTGAAATCACTGCAGATCTTGAGTGGTTTATGTATCCAATATCTACTTCTAACATTAAAAACTCATCTGACAAAAATTAAAAAATGAAACTAATTAAATGTAAAAATAATAATTAAAATTAATTAATTAAAAAGAAAATAAAAAAACAAATAAACTCAAAGGATTGATTCGATAGACTACTAGGTCTTTTTCAGCCATCAGTTTCTATGTTTGTAAAACTTCCTGCTAATATACAAAGCTTATTTAATGTTCCCATGTTTCTGAAACTAACACCATCTGCAAATGCCCTTAACTATTAACTTAACAAATAACATTAACTCCCATAAGTCTCTGATCTTATGTCTCTATTTAGTACTTCAAGAACCAAAATGGACAAAAGTGGAAACAGGTTCATATGTTCCAGAATTCTAAACAAAAAATTCCAATTCAAATTGTTAAAGGCCTTCTTTGCATCTATGAATATCAATGCAGCTTGTTTTCATTATATTGCTCCAAGTATTCTAGAATATTCAAAACATTTCTAATATTATCTCATTGTTGTCTTTTAGGTAAAAACCCATATTGGTCTTCATTAACAAATTCCTATAAAGTTATTTTCAACCTTTCAGCCAAAATTATGGCAAACCATTTGTAATTTTCTTCAATAAAGATATTGGCCAATAGTTTCTTGTTCAAATCAAATCTTGTCCCTCTTAAGGTATTAATGTTATATTTTCTGCAATAAATCTGGTGAAATGCCCTTATCTGTATTTTTTTCTTGTGAACTCCTGCATCCTTCTCCCAACTTTATTTGTAGTTGCCATGGTGAAAAAATGAAAGTGTGTCAATTACTATGGTGAAAGTAAAAGGCAGCCTTCTCCTTTTTTTCTGTTTTGCTTCTATCCTTAACACTTTAGTCCCAATGATCTCTCTAGAGAGTTACAGTCCCACAACGTAGCTCATATTATCCTTTTCTTCTTGTTTTGTAAAATTCTCTACTACTGTCCTTAAAAATAAACAATCAACATTTCCAGAAAGGTATGATCTAATTAACTTTACTATTTTCAAAGGCACTTTTGTCAGAAAAAAAAACTGTCCGCTTTGTCCATTTGAAACTTTCTTAGATCACAATTTTCTTAAACTGTTTACTTTTAAATGGAAATGCTTTAAAATAGCATCTCCCCCCCACACACCCCACACTTTTCAAGTCTTGAAAAGTAAGCCATTTGCCAAAATCTTCACTGCCATTCGGATATCTCTCTTAGGTTATCTCTCTTATGTTTGTAAAGCTTCATAGCAGTTAAGGGCACATTGTAAATCCTTTGGCTCCCAAGTTGCTCAACTTGCAATTGGCCACAAGTAACTCAATTCTTGTGCTCCTCTCATGGGGAACAGCTCTTCCAGAACACAAGCAGAGGTGGTCACCTGATTTTTCCTTCCTCCAAAGAAATTTTTTTTGTCTCCTGATGTGCAGTGCTGTTCCTGCTTGTGGAGCCCCTGGTGGAGACAACTAACCAGTCACCTCACCTCACCCAGAAACCCCTTTTCCTTTTCCTTTTTAGTCTTGATGGAAGTTCCTTCTCTTTACAAAAAATCTATGTCTTCCTGCCTGTTTTTATCTGAAGTGTGGTTAGATGTCATTCCTTTATTAGAGAGTTTAATGATTCAACTCTGCCATTTTAAAACAGAAGCAAAGATATAGTGGCCATTTGTTTATTTTTCCATTTCCCATTGGGGGAAACATAAAAAGCCATGAAGCAATGTAATAAAGTAAGGCTTTTGCTTCAGAGCTGAATAAAAATGTGGCCTCATTCTGAAGTGCCAATCAAAGCCACTTGCTGTCTGAAACCCCAAATAAGTTTTTAAACCTTTGCCCCATGCATGCTGTTCGGTCTGCATACAAGTGTTCAGGGTCAGATGATTTTTCTTGTGATCTGTAGCAGAAAAAGAACTGTCTCTAATGAAACTTTCTTTTCCCTTTCAGGTGCTTATCTAGTTCCCTATCTGATCCTGCTCATCCTTATTGGAGTCCCCCTCTTTTTCCTGGAACTGGCCGTAGGGCAGAGAATCCGCCGGGGCAGCATAGGAGTGTGGAATTACATTTGCCCTCGATTAGGTGGCATTGGATTTGCCAGCCTCTTAGTGAGTGATTGGATGAATTCATATGTCTTACTCAGGGCTGTAAATGGGTGCATAATATGTAGGTGGTTTTGCCAAAAAAGGAAGTCTGGGCCTATTATTAAATTTATGCAAAATTTACAGTAGGTGGACCAAAATTCCTAACTCCGAGGTATCTAACAGAAACAGCCAAAAAGGAAAGGAAAAGAAGGGGATGACTAGCTCGGTAAATTCTACTTCTAAAATTTAAGAAGTTTGGGGTTACCTGGATAGGGTTTTCTTTTTGCAACGCCATTTTATGCTGGTTCATAAAATAAAGTTGTTGTGTACAATATAAAGATCTGCATGTTGATGCATGTCAAAGTTCTAACAGGAAAAAAGAAGACAATGTCTGGCCATTAATAATCTAGCAGATATGTTAAATAAAGTCATTACCTATAGCTAAGGGTGATTAATTATGAATAATGGAATAAAAATATGTTGATATGTGGAATCAATTAGGGATCTGACATTCATGTTTAGGACAGCTTTTTTAAAGAAAACAAACAAAAAGCTGCACAATGTCTTAAAGGGAATGGCATCAAAGTTGGAAACTGACCAGAGAGAAGCAACCTGGAATTAAGGAGAAACTTCCTAACAGTGAGGACAATTAACCAGTGGAACAGCTTGCCTTCAGAAATCGTGGGTGCTCCATCACTGGAAGTTTTTAAGAAGAGACTAGACAGTCACTTGTCTGAAATAGTATAGCTTCTCCTGCTTGAGCAGGGAGCTGGACTAGAAGACCTCCAAGGTCCCTTCCAGTTCTATACTATTCTAATTTTAAAAGTGCTATATGTTCTACTTGCATGTATCAACATTCATAGCCTTCTCCTAAGAGTCGTTTTTTTCCTAATTAGGAATTTAGGAAACAATCAGGCTATTAGCATAAGAAAAGAAAATAAGCCATTTAGATTGGGGACATTTTATAAAATGTGCTGACTTCTGACTTCTAAACAACTGTGTAACAGTACATTATCATTGCAGAAAATTTCGTTCAATATTGGAGAAATATTACGAGTCATCCTGAAAAGTATTTATTTCTAAGTGAAATGCCTAAATGCCTAAAATGTCTAGCAGCTTAATGGAGGCAAAAGAAAAAAAGATCTAAAAAGCAATAAATAATACTGAAAACTAGAGAAATTATGATGAAACAGAGAATAATCTTTGAGATCATTTTGCAAATTCTCCTATTGGATTTTGCAATATTATATAATTCAGAGTTAATAATGGGAACCTAGCTCATTAGGAGAATGGCCATAGTGAAGGGTAATCATAAACACCCAGATAGGCTTCTGCTTCTACACTTAAGGTACACTCACATTTCTTGCCCACGAGCACTGCTCTATTCATTTCAATGGGTGAAGTAGATCTATGCCATCAATTGAGTGAAAACATGATTTACAGCCCCCAAATTAGACTGGTTCTTCATGAGCACCCTGTTGGTGTATAAATATTCCCAGACCCATGGCAACTTGGAGATTAAATATGTTCACTAAACTATTCATGATGAAAGTCCATGTGTGATATGCCATATGCTAAATAAATAAATGGCCATTTTCTGGGGTTCACTTTGGAAGGTCCTCTTCCTGTGTTTGAATGAAATATTGTTATCTAGGTTCTAGACATGATTTCAGTTTCCTTTTGCCAGGTCTGCTTGTTTGTTGGACTCTATTATAATGTGATCATTGGATGGAGCATCTTCTACTTTTTCAAATCCTTCCAATATCCTTTACCTTGGAGTGAATGTCCTATTTTGAAAAATGGCTCAGTGACAAGTGAGTAGCCATTTTTTGCAACTATCTGTATAGGGGAAAGAAGATGAGGCAAATTTCGATTCTAATTGTCTACTTTTTATTAGGATAATAAAGCAATAAAGGTAATTGTTGAAATAGTACTTAATGCTGCTTCCTGTTAATGCCACTTGGAAGGGTGGGATGCATTCACTTTTTTTCTTCCTTCTGTGAGAAACACAAAGTATTCATTCGATATCTCTTTTTCTGTGATGTTAAGAGTGTAGCAGAACAGAGGCTTCCATTCCAAAAATGACAATAGCTCAGGTCTGTTTCATCCTTCTAGAATAAGAGATTGCATGAGCTGGTAAGAAATAGTTTCCAAAGGATGCAACTGAGATACTTTGGAAGCTAATGGAGCATTTAATAGACTTTGAACATCTCCCAGCACATAGATGAATCTTTTATAGTGAGTATAAATCACCCCATTTATTTAATCCAATTTTGGATAGCAACAGTCTCCCCACTTCCATTTCTGAAAAAGACCTCTAGGCATATTTCCTAATGTGTCCTATGCAATAGTTCTAAATAAATTCTATCTCACTTAGCTACACCTTAGGCATGCCACTGTAAATTGCCAAATGAAAGATTTGTATTCAACCCAAGTTCTTATCCTATACAGTTGTAGAACCAGAATGTGACAAAAGCTCTGCAACTACTTTCTTCTGGTATCGTGATGCCCTGGATATTTCCAGCTCCATTTCAGAGAGTGGTGGACTTAACTGGAGAATGACCTTATGTCTACTGATGGCTTGGAGCATTGTAGGCTTAGCTATGATCAAAGGAATCCAATCCTCAGGAAAGGTAAATATCATGGTGATGGGTTGAAATAAAGAATAGCAGGATCTTTAGAATTGATTGATTTTTTTAAGAGTATAAATCAGTAGTCACTTCTACACAGCCAGAGTGTTCAAGCGAATTCTGAAAACATGCAGATTTTGTCTAAACACTTGCCAAGTGTAGGTATGCCTGTTCCATGTTCCATGGTCCTGTGCTTCTTGGTAATTATTTAAAAGATAAGCATGTGAACAGGCCCATGGCAACAATGGGTTATATTCACCATTATCCAGCTCTTTCGGGACCAGCTACTCTGATTAGATGGCTCGATTTAAAGTACTAGAGGTCTTGAATGTTATAAATATATTACAAGATGAACGAACAAATTTATTGTAACAATTTTTATGGACCATGGTTACTTCACCAATGTATGGATCTGATACATTTACTCATATTTAAAATGCCACAAGACACCATAACTCTTATTTCAACAGAGCTCACAAACTTGATTATTGGTGAATGTATTTTTTGGCCATGTGTGGAAATGGTTGCCATCATCTTCTTGTTTTTCAGTTTCTCAGTCTAGTGGACTACCCTTCTGGAAATCATAGTTCTGTTTATAAGGAAGGTTAGGAATAACCAGAAGATAATTTATCTAATCTCCTCAAATTGAAATTCCCAACATTTTTATAGAAAACTATGACGCATTAAAAAACTGATTAGGTGCCTATCAGTGCTACTGCTGATTTACATCACATCTTCTCCCTCACTTAGGTGATGTATTTCAGCTCTCTCTTTCCATATGTGGTATTGATCTGCTTCCTGGTCAGGGGTTTGCTTTTGAGAGGGGCAGTAGATGGGATTCTACATATGTTCACTCCTAAGGTAAGACTTTTTACAATACCTTTACATTATTGTTAGTTCCTAGAAGCTGAGAGTCACCCAGTTGGTTTTGTGCCTAACTATTAAGGTGGGTCTCCAGGTTTCTCCACTCTACATTCACCCTGAGAGGTAGATTAGGTTGAGAGAGAAGAGCCTTCACAGGCTCACTAAGTGTACAGATAGTCCTCGACTTACACCAGTTCATTTAGTGACCATTCAAAGTCACTGAAAAAAGTGACATGACTTTTCACACTTACAACCACTGAGGCATCTCCATAGTCATGTGATTAAAATTTGGATGTTGGGCAATTCGTTCATATTTATGATGGTTGCGGTGTCCCAAGATCATGTGATCACCTTTTGTGATCTTCTGACAAAATCAATGGAGAAACCAGATTCAGTCAACAACCCTGTTACTAATTTAACGACTGCAGTGACAAGAAAGGTCATAAAATGGGGCAAAATTCACTTAACAACTGTCTCACTTAGCAACAGAAATTTTGGTCTCAATTGTGGTTGTAAGTTGAGGACTACCCGTACTTAAAACTTAAGAGAGTTTTTCTGTCTCTACTCTTCGTTGTGCCTTAAGGCACCTTTTTCCCATTTTGGTACACGTCAGATATATAGGAATAATAATTTAGTTGTTGGATATTATCCCAGAACGTTAGCATCTTCCTTATGGAAATTTCTGCAGCATTGGGTGAGTTTTTTTATATCGCTTGGGGATGTTTTCAAAAGTGCTTTGGAATGCCTGGATTGTCAGGCAGATGACATCTGCAACTCCCAAAGCAGATATCATCCTTCTCTGGAACTATGTGCCAGCTGTGGAGGACAGCTGCATGATCTTGGCAAAGAGGCAGTTTTGAGAAAGGACGAACTTGCACCCCTGAGTAGAATTTTGAAATTGAGCATCTTTGGCGAATTGAATCTGAAGTCAGTCTTCCTACATTATCTTTAACTTACTCACTGCAGTATTCTATGTGTAACACTTAGTTGTGATGCTGGTCCACCGACAAATTTATTTTACAGTTTGTAATCTGATGGCTATTTATAGTTAAATAGTGTTCCAATGAATAACACCAAAATACTGATCAAACTGTAATTCATCAAGTAAAAATCGCATAAAAACTATATATGTTTTATAACTGTAAACTGCCCAGAGATTATAATTTATTGGGTAACATTAATATATGAGCACTCCAAACAAATAGTCTGATTTTAATAGATCTTAAAAATGCCCCACCTTCTTTGGATTTGCCTATTATTATCCATAATTCCATTGGCAGAAGAGAAAGTTATTGGGCCCTTGCCAGCATATATATAAAGTATACCTACAATCTTCCTCTTTGTTTATAATATACTGTAAGAGGTGTTTCCCTGCTCACCAACAAAGATGCAGGGATGAATTGACCTTTCTGTCCATCTCTGTTTTTTGCAGCTTGATAAAATGTTGGATCTCCAAGTATGGCGAGAAGCTGCCACTCAGGTCTTCTTTGCCCTTGGACTGGGTTTTGGTGGAGTTATTGCCTTTTCCAGTTATAACAAACAGGATAATAACTGCCACTTTGATGCAGCCCTTGTCTCCTTTATCAATTTCTTCACTTCCATCTTGGCCACATTGGTTGTTTTTGCTGTGCTAGGCTTCAAAGCCAATGTCATGAATGAAAAGTGTGTGATTGAGTAAGTACCAGGTGATTTGGGTAGGGAACTCTAGCACATACAGTTATCATTTCTGAAGTACAGCTTTATTCTAATTTACAATTTCAATAAGCTATCATTCTCCTCCAAATGGATTGATATCTCAAGTGTACAGCAATAGCACTTAGACTTATATACCACTTCATAGTGCTTTACAGCCCTCTCTAAGTGGTTTACAGAGAGCATATTGCCCCCAACAATCTGGTTGCTCATTTTACCGACCTTGGAAGGATAGAAGGCTGACTCAACCTTGAGCCTGTCAGAATCAAACTCCTGGCAGTCAGCTGTTAATTAGCCTGCAAAACTGCATTCTAAATACTGTGCCACCATGGCTCCTAGCAAATAGAGATCTTTTGCTTACAACAAATAGAGATGAGATCTTTTCATCATATAGTTTCTGAAGAAACTCCTGAGAATAATAAAATTAATTCTTCTACATCAGTCTAAAAAAATGATAGCTTATTTTGCTGAGAGTAGATGGAATTCATTGTATTCTCTGGGATTTAGAGAATGTCTTTGTAAGTATATATATATATATATTTCCTTTTGTAGAAATGCTGAGAAGATCCTGGGTTATCTGAACACAAATATCCTCAGCCATGCCCTGATACCACCCCAAGTGAACTTCTCCCATCTGACAGCCAAGGATTACACTGAAATGTATGCTGTCATAAAGACAGTGAAAAAGGATCAATTTGAGAATCTGGGATTGGATCCCTGCCTGCTGGAAGATGAGCTTAACAAGGTATGTTTAAGGACTGACATTTGGTGCCATCTTAATTCCTTTGAAAACAAAGAGATAAATTACAGGAAAAAGAACACATTATAGTTCTTCTGAAGCAATATCTCTTCTGGAACGAAGACTTGATCAAATACTGCCCCAATGTCAAATCCCTTACATAAAATGACTGTAGGTATTGGTTTGGTTTGTAAATAATGATAAGTTCCTAATGACATGGTCATCCCAAGACAGAAATCATGATGTAAAAGCAATAAGCCACAATGTGCAACCATGATTTATTGATTTACAAATTCCAATTCCAGGTTTGTTAACACATCTAATCCTAGATCTTAACTTATTCAAATGTTTGTTTAGTGATCTACCTATTTCATTCTAAGTGTTTGCACAATAATTGGAGAAAACTGGGCCAGAAAGCCCATGAGTACTGTATCTTCGACTGGACAGTTGGAGTCTGTGCATAAAGGCATGAAGCTCAAAGGCATCAAGAATAAATCATGGATTGTTCAACAATAAATCATGGATTGTTCAACAACTCTTTTTTTTAAAAAAATCTGATTTAGAATTTTGCATGAGCAAAGTCTTCATACTGAATTTATTTAAAGTTAAGAACTTTGTTCATTAAATTATATTTAAAAAAACCCCAAGATACTGTAAAATAAGGCTTTTCGAGGAAAGAAACATAAGTTGCTGGATTCAGTTCATTATGGTTTTTAACTTCAGAATGCCTACTTTAATAGATGGAGTAAAAAGTGCATAGTCCATGGCATAGTTTTCTGCATTTATTAAGTGATTTAAACAAAATAAAACCATGTACTAATGATACATAAACCTCTGTCATTGGATAACCTTACCTAGTGGTCTCATGTAGGAAAGTAGAAGGATTGACAACCTACACATTAGGGGTTTAGGGCTAGACTTTCCCCCCTGCTCAATAATGATTAGAACTGACCCCAAAGGAGAAAAAACTACTGCAACATCCTGTTTCCCACTCCTAGCCCCCTAAGCTCAACTAGAAGTTTGCATAGTCAATGATACTGAAGGCTGCTAAGAGACTGAGAGTTAGAATAGATGCAGATCCACCTTCCCAAGTCCCTCCGCAGGTAATCAACCAATGCTGTTTCAGTACTATATCCAGGTCTGATCCTAACTGAAAAAGTTCTAGATTAATCTTCTTCCTCCGGGACTCTCTGAAGCTGTAGTCTTACTACTGTCCATTTCATTGGGGTCAATTGGCACAAACCCATTCCATGGGCAGTCTATGCACTGATCAACTCAACTGCACCAGTGGTGGGATCCAACCAGTTTGCATTACTTCAGCAGAACCAGTAGCTATTTTTTTTTGTTGCCCAGGCCCAGAATGGACTTCTGGAAGCGGCATCCACACAGAGAACCGGTTATTCACATATTTGAATCCCATCACTGAACTGCACTTACTCAGAGTCCAACTTAGACCTGATCTGAGAAATTTTATCTGGCAGATGTCTAGAATATTCCTCATAGCAGCATCTGATTCCTAGCAGTGACTAAAGTTTCAGATGCATAGGGAACAGAGGCATCTTTCTAAAGAAAGGTGATATAACCCTCTTATATTTTGTTTTGAAATGGGGGGGGGCATTCCCACATAATTATTTTAATTGAAAGATTTAAAATAAAGTCAAGTGGGGCAAAGAACCTTGGAGATGCCAAAAAAAATGTCTATCAGCCCACAGGTGGTCTTGAAAACTATTGCTTGGGTATACAGCATAGTAGAGCATGGATCAATCCTCTTGCTGGTTTATCATAAGAGACATGATATTTAGATCCAGAGGAATGGCTCAGGCATCTTTTGTTTTTAATGTAATTTATTGTAGCAGAATTGCAACCGCAAATGCTTCAGCCCACAATTATGTCACTGGTTTTTAATGTTCTGAGGTTTCTGAAATCTATGGCCAGTTAGCACTCATTTCAGGAGTACTGAGTGGAAACATCTATGATAAGAAAATACTATTGGATGTTAAACCTGATGTGAAAGAAAGTTCATGAATTTTCTCACAGTGAAGTAGTTTTTCCAAATGTGTGGGTAATAATTTATTGAAGTGGTAGGTAAGTAGCCTTTCTCCACAGCTATTGAAAAGAAAGAGGTTCAGGACTTATGGACCATAAGTGAATAAATCTGCTTGGGTCATAGGCAGTTACTGATGTTGGGAAAACTTGAGGAATAAATACTCATCCCATCATATCTATGATATACATGCAATATAAAGCCAGAGTTTTATTTTCTCTCTTCCAGGGCATGTATATATAGAAAACAGCAGATGCTTGTGCAACCCTTAGTACATGCATGCTTCTCCCTCTACTTATCCATATAGGAAATTCCCCTCATTGGACCAAAGGCTAATACGTGACTGGCTGTTTGGCTCTGAAAGCTTGTAGTTTTACAGACAAAAACCTATTGACAAGAATACACACACATCTGCTTTTATAACGCTCTTTCTCTTGTCAAGAATAACACAAGCATCTTCTTTTGGCTGTATACAGTCAGTGCAGGGAACTGGCCTCGCATTCATAGCTTTCACAGAAGCAATGACTCACTTCCCAGCTTCTCCTTTCTGGTCAGTGATGTTCTTCCTGATGCTGATAAACCTGGGTTTGGGAAGCATGATTGGGACCATGGCTGGCATCACCACCCCCATCATTGACATGTTCAAAGTGCGCAAAGAAGCATTAACAGGTAAGGTGATTTTCAGGGAAATGCAAAGAGTCACATGGACAACACTATAGATATATTAGAGGCGGACCACTCTGGGCCCATTAAGCTGCAGGTATCCTTTCTCTTCCTCCAACATCCTAATCCAGACCCTTAATCAATGTTGCCACCAACATTGTTACTTTAAAAAGAAGGAATAGCCTTTTCCTTTCAGCCTCTGGGAAGTTAATCTTATGATAATGAGGTGATAGCTAATGTTATTTGGAAACAAATGGACCAAAGTATTGGTTTATAGAATAGTTTGTGATGAGTAGGTTTGAGTTGTGGTTTGGAAAATGGTTTTGTCACTCTACATCATATTTTATGTATTGTTACTTGGACGTAAATCTTCCTGTTTTCAGTGAAATGTACTGTGATAAAATATGTAACCACAGCCCAAATGTAGCATATAAATGAGAGGCTTCTCTATGGGCTAAAGTTGACCTTGAGTTCACCAGCCCACACATTCTTAGCTGGAGGCATCTCTAATCCTTAAGTGTTGTGAACTGTGTCATTTCTGCTGATTGCTCAGATAAAATTAAAGAGCTTTCTCTGCAATACATCATACTATTAAGTCAAGTATCTCCCAGACTTACTTATAGTAAAATTTGTTTTACCTTTCTCTAAAGATAAGTTATACTGTTTGCCCCATGATGCTTTGCAGACTTTTGCATGTTTACTTGGAAGCAATTCCTATGGAAATAATCCCCATTTTCTGCAACGGCTATTTACTTTCAGAGAAGCATGCGTGCTGAAATCATGTTTTTAAACACAGGAAGACTAAATGCTATGCTCTGTTCTGCCTTCAGTTAGCTTCCCTGCTTAGCATAAGAGGATAGTTTTTACTGTACATATAAGAAGATCTGCTGGATCCTACATTTGGTCTGTTGCACACATTTGCCTGTTTTGCCACTGAATGCACATGCCAATTCTGTCATGCCTAAACATACAGTAGAAGTGCACTATTTTATTCCACAGTATGGAGTATATTCATGATTTGTGAATTTCTATTTAGGACTTTTTATTTTGTGTGCTATTTTTTTAAGCAGTATAATTATATTCATAGGACAAACATAACAGTACTGTATATGTTAACCAGACCAACATAACAGCCGTTGCATCTAAGAGAAAGTTATATGTGTTAACCATTGTCATCTGCTCCTTACAGTTGGCTGTTGCATTTTTGCTTTCTTCGTGGGTCTGATCTTTGTGCAACGCTCAGGCAACTATTTCGTCACCATGTTTGATGATTACTCTGCAACACTGCCACTCACTCTTGTGGTAATCCTGGAGAACATTACTGTGGCTTGGATTTACGGTACCAAGAAGTAAGCGTTCTTTCAAAAGGAATCAGTGGAACTGATGTTCTTATATTTCTTCCTTCTTTTACTCCTTTGCTTCTAAAACCACTTTTTATACGATGACTTTACTTGATTGTGAAAACCTCAGATTTCTTGATTTTTCTTTATTTTTTTTAGTGCCAGCAAAATTTCACAATTGAATTTCTCCATCCAGTGTGAAATAAAAAGACAGAATCTGGCATTTGTGCTTCACCTGTTTGCTTTCTTCCTTCTCCCTTTTTAGATTCATGCAAGAATTAACAGAAATGCTGGGTTTCCGGCCTTCCAGCTATTATTTTTATACATGGAAGTACATTTCACCCATCTGTATGGCTGGCCTGATGACAGCCAGTATAATTCAGCTAGCAGTCAATCCACCAGGTTATAGTGCCTGGATAAGAGAAGAGGTGAGTCTGCATAAATTACACCTCAAGATTTTCAAATCCATAAACTGGGCATCAGCGTGAAAGTGATCCATTTTATTTGCATAGGCTGCTGTATATCAGCAGCATGACTGATATCTGCATGACAATATGTAATAAAGCCACCGATTCTTCAGTGCAGATGAAGTTATGTAAATACTAGATCAGGCCCATATACATTAAGCCAAAGGGAACTCTTGTTCTAAAAGCAGTATGCTGATTGTACATTAGAGGTCCAAAGAACTGTGATATTTTCTTCCTGCTTCATTTAATCCTTCAAGATGACACAATTTTTATATATCACAGTCTCATATGCTTTAAAATAAAGTAATCCAGAATTATGTTTTGACAGGGGACTACGAAGATTCTGACTGAAAAATGATTTAAGCATTTATTCCTTTTGCAGGAAATTCCTAGATTATGAAAGTAGTGAAAACAGCCATTTGTTTCATATCATTTTTCAAACAAAAGCGACTTGGTTGAGTTGGGTGGCAATTGTAATCAAATAAATAAATAAATTCCCACTCATCAACAATAGGCAAGGATTGTACATATAGAATAAAGGCTTTTATCCTGCCAGTCATAGCTGACTTTAGACTACTAGAATTGTATTTTTATATTCTCTCAGGTGTAAGCTGCCTAAAGTGAATAGTGAATAAGAAGCAGACAAATTGTTGACACAGAAAAGGAAGAAATTACTTATATGAAATAAAGAGAAAGGGAAATTGTTTAGTGGTAGCAGTTTAATTCTTCTAAACATCTCCTTTCAAAGTGTGTTCCTTCCCTAAAAGGTGATGGATAAGGAATGGTTTTATGTTTGCCTCAGTTTCAAAGAACTGCTAAGCTAATTAATTTGAGAAATGTGTGTATAATACCAAAAATATATGCTAAATCTCACTGTTCCCGTTTCGTTTTCCAGGCGGCAGAGAAATTTCTCTTTTACCCTAAATGGGCAATGGGCATACTTGTGTCTCTGATCATCTTGGCCATCCTTCCTCTGCCAGTGGTCTTTATCCTCCGCCAATTCCACCTGGTGTCAGATGGTTCTAATGTTCTGTCTGTCACATACAAAAAGGGGCGCATGATGAAGGACATATCCAACTTGGAAGACAATGATGAGACCCGTTTCATCTTGAGCAAAGTTCCTAGTGAAACCCCTTCTCCAATGCCTGTACATCGCTCTTATCTGGGCCCTGGGAGCACGTCCCCAATGGAAATGAGCAATGTTGCTAATGGACGCTACAGCAGTGGGTACCTCATGGATACCACTCCTGAATCTGAACTGTGACCATCGACCAGTAGCCTTCCCCTACTTTCTGGGTAAAAGAGAAGATAGTCCTTCAGGAGGACATCTATGCTTTAAAAAAAAAAAACCCCTTCCTGTCATGCATAGCAACCAGAGGTAGATGATACCAAGTGTAAAAGGTGAGAAGGAAAGTTGCTTTCCTTCTGGTGCTCTCCAAATGAAATACCAGAATTTTCCTCAGTGAATAATAGTAGTCATAGGACATTGCAATAAATCTTATGGTCAAAAGGGAAATTTTAGCTAATTGGTATTGAAAAACACAGATAACCTGTTTCAAGAAATCTAAGATTGGGGGAGAGAGATGGAATAAGGAAACAGCCAAAACAAAAACAAGAAGCAGCTAGTTCCTTGACTCTCTCTCTCTCTTTCTCTGTCCCTTACTTTTAATTAGGAGAAGAGGCTTTTGTCCCATTTGCTGAATAACTACCACTATTCATAGCACAAGATTTAAAAAGACTAATAGCCCAATATGGATTCTACGAGGACGTTTCTGGTTTTACACTTTGACCGTATCCAATTTGCACAGTCTTAGTGAAGAGGTCTTACAACTCTTGACTAAGATACATTTTATGTAGACAGCACATTAGAATGCTTGCCGTTGCATTATGTGAGATTGGTGATATTATTTCTGAAGATGGATCAAAAACTGAAGGGTGTTTTGTTTCAGTGAAGTTGGCCATGGTATGCATGCTGCTGAGACTCACAGTGTTCCTCTATCACAAATTCATGTTTGTGCCATGTGTGTCAGTCAGAACCAAAACTTAGCTCTATCAGTGTAGTTTTCCAGAATTCAGGATGTTGTTCCTGACATTATTTACACAACAGTAATTAAATGTTGACATATAGGACATAGTAAGAACTATTCCAGTAGCCGCTCTTTTCTATAATAGAGATGGAGAGAATAAGTAGCTCCCCAGGCTGTTGTTAGATTTCATTGGCATCAGCTAGGAAGGCTAATGATAAGGAATGCAGGGAACTGCAGTGCAACATCTGCAGGGCTTCAGGTTCTCTACTCCTGTTATATGGGGCCACTAAATATAAGGAAGGAATTTCCTATATTATAATTTTGAAAGGAGTGACAAGCACATTAAAAAAACATTGATAGCACATTTCCTTCAACATAGCACATGTGAATTATGTCCTCCAGCCGGGATTAGTGTAGCGGGATTATCAAACTTTCTAAACAACGTTTTATATTTTATATCTAAGATAATTTAGATGTTTTCTTCAGACTGTTGCCTCTATTTTCTTTAACTGCAGTGAGGAAGATAACTGCACATATATCACAGTATCAGATATTGATAGAATTGATAAGATTACTAAAGTCTAGTGGCAGAGTTCTTGCCTCCCACTCAGTCACATTCAGTTGGTGATTCAAACAAGCAGTGCCAATTTTTAAAACCAATTTTAAAATATTCTCTTCCTCCTCCTCCAAAATTGTACAATTTATCTGTGAGAGTTTATGAAGTTGTTCAGGTAAACCATATAATTAATGAACATTTTAAATGGCTTCCCTCTCCCCCTTTCATTTCATCCTTCTCTAGTTTTGGTATTTAAATATTCCCTTACTTGCAACTTGTGGACTGAAGTACCACCAAGTCTGTTTTTTTTAAATAGTAAATAATACATATTGATAGGAATAGTAGTAGCTGTAAATCATTTGCAGAAGATGCTTTAAGAGTTCATATGTAGAGAGTTGAGTGGCTAGATCTTGACTAGATGTCTGCAATGGTACAAAAGATTTATAGAAGCTACTTTAAATGTGTTTACTGGGATTGCCTCTCTATGGCCAGCTGTTTATTAGTTTCTGAGACTAATATTATGCATAATTTTTTAGCAGTAAACAACAACAAAAAAGAAAAAGAAAATCTTATGCTTTGAACATTGTTGAGAGCCTGAATCTGCTGGAATATTAATCACCAATAATACTTTTAAAGTTGTGTCCAGGGCATTATGGGAAATTAAAAAGGTGATTGGTCAATGGATAGTACTTATATTTTCAGAATATTGCTGCCTGCCACTATTAGTTGAGGCTGATTTTTATTCTGCTTTAAATATACAATATAACTTTACAAAGTGGTGGAATAGAGAAATAGGGTTTGAATTTGTGTTTGGCATAAATCAACAATTAAACAGAAGCCAAGATCTAGTGTCCTAACTCCACTTAATTCTGTTCATTGGGTTTCCAGAACACAACGTAGCCCAACACTGAACAGTATATCACAATGCATTAAATTAATGTCAGGAATCCCAATTATCCAGGATGTATTCATTATGCAATAGTGAAAAACAACTAGTTTATTCCCATAGAGGCAAGGAAGTGTCAGTGAGGAAATGTCAAGATGTCAATAAAATGATAAAGAATGCCCTACTTTCCAGAGACTTAGCATTTTTACAGTCTTTCTACAATGTTTTCTGATGATTTGGTTTGCCAGTACCTCTGCATTCCATTTCAGCAGACAATGGATTCTCTTTTTGTTCTTAGGGTTCAGATTTGACTTCAGACTACTCAGGTAACCTGGAGAAATATGCATAATTATACTTTGATGTCTCCCTTTCCACATGCTACATTATTTAACTAAGCCTTCTTATGATATATTATAATCTGAATAAACAATGGAGGTAGCTAAGTTCTTATTTCAGTCAGTTTCTGACCTTTTTTAGTCCAGTGATGAAGTATCACATTACTATACAAGTTATTTTATTTGTGTTCTGTAAAAGCAGCAATTTTGCATAAAGAAAAAGAAAAGAAGCCATTTTCTGTGATAGTTCTACATGTTTCCTAGTCAGAAATAAATCTTTTGGATGTGAGTCAATATAATTCCACTGGAATCAATTAAACTAAATTACTGCTATTGGAAATATGGTCCAACTGCTACAGATGAAAGGATTATAGAATTGGGATGGACTTCATAAATAGGAGTGCGTGCCTTTGAGATAAGGTGAGCACCAAGTCTGATCAATGCTTACTATCGGTCATTCTGATGATGGGAATTGGAGTTCACATATATCTGAAGATTCATATTTTTTTATATATATATATAGGAAACCTAGTATCTCAGCACCAGCAGTAATCTGCTATGAAGTCTCTCTTAAAAATCTTTAATAAGAGAATCCACCACCTTCCAGGCCATGCATTGGCTTACTCTGCCAATGGGTCTTTTCTAATTCTTAATCTGCTCTTTCCTCTTTTTTAAAATCAATCTGTTCATTTAGATCCAATATATAGAAGAGGAAAAAGCACATTAGTTTACCACCTGTATGACAGCCCTTGAAATATCTGAAGTTGTGGTTATCTCTTGATCATTTCTTTAAGTAAGCCACTTGCTAAAGAAACAAATGGGTGCCAGTGTGTGGCACTGTTTTTCCATTTCCACTACAAGGCTGGCCAATATACGCCAACATCCCTTCACTCAGTTATGCAGATATATTACAACAGGCCAACAATATGAATAAAATAGTATGCAGAAGCATTTTAAGACTACAGGAACATTTTTTACTCTTCCAGGTATTATCATGTTAACATTTCCCTACATAGTTTTATATTCTAAAACATGAAAAGTTGAAAGAAGAGAAGACAACAGAAAAACTTGATTCAAAGCGGTTAATGATCAGAAGGATAAGAATTATGGCAGCTTATGTTTTTGATGATCATATACCCTGATTTGGTGATTATGACACTTGTACAATGAATGTTAAGAAAGCAGGTGGGGTTTTTTTGTTGTTACTTCAGGCCTAACTAATTTTTACACATGACTATGTGCTGTAGAGTTTTGCATGCTTTGAAAAAGATTTGAATGAAGTGCCAAGAAAGAGGTAAAAGCTGAATATCTTTATTCTATTTCTTAAAACAGCCCCAGCTTTTTTAGGCCCCTAGATAAGTTTAAAGAACAGCATCTTTCTTCAGGTTCATGCAGAGAGCTGAAAAAGCCGGGCTGCTTTAATTATAGTAGTGTACTGATTTAGAGCACTTGTATCCAATTTTTTTAAAGCCTGCACAGCTCTACAGACATTAGAAATATAGTTAGGGAAGTTTATTTTCAGGATACAAAGAAAACCACTTCAGAAAGACTGGTTAAGATAGAGTAATTATGCTGGAATCAATTAATTAGAAGCATGCTGCAGTTAAAGATAGTTCAGAGTGGATTTTCTCTTGGAAACATTTTTTGTGATGACTGTTTTAGAAATTATTAAGAGTATTAGTTGGTTATGATGTAAAAGACAATCAAGAGTGGGCTTGTAGGTTTCATTAAGCCTTCTTACTTTTGCTTCCTTATACTACAGACACTGACAGCTCTAGGACAAAGGTTCTTTTCAGAATAGTGTTATAATGAATTGGTTTCAGCAGATTTTTGTTTCCTGCTCTTTAATTCCTCTTCTGACTTCTCTGGATATTCTTGACAAGACTATAAGCAGAGATCATGTGAGCTTGTGATATGAACAATTAAATGGACTGTTTTCATTTTTATAAAGAGATTGTAAACGGTACATTTTAAAGCGAAGGAGATACCACTTGATTTTTGATGGTTTCAATTTGTGAGTCATGAAAAAGGAATGAATCAAGTAGGGATAAAAAAAAAAATCTCTGCTAGAAGGTTCCATTTCTTTTTTTATTTATCTTTTGATAGCTTTTTTCCCCCTGTGGACTCCCTTAAGGAAAAAAATATATAGCCCAGCCCCTATGATCTAGAGATCATGCAAAATGTGAAAAGGCAATCATTGAAGAAGCTAATTGCTGAATACAGAGTTTCCTCTTCCTGTCCATATTGTTCTCTCCTGAAGACTTCTTCTTTTGCTCAGAAGGAAGTTATCAAAGATTCCCAGAATTCTTGATTTGTTCTGGGCACCTTGGGACACGTTTGAACTGCCATTGGACAAACTGAGCTAATTCCATGTAATGCCCCTTGACTGGCTTCTCAAGGAAAAGATTTTCCACAATGGATCCATGGCAATTCCTTCCTTCTTTTGTGTGTGTGTGGGGGGGGAGGGGGGGTAGGAATAGTGGCAGTGGGAAGGCAAAGAAACATATATTGTTTGTTTGTACATAATATATATATATATAAAGAGAGAAGAAAATAATCTATAGATTCTATTTCTATTGTATATTTATTCTGTAAATATTGGTGTAAATTCTGTTAAATGAGAAACATATTCCAAAGTGATCAGTGAACTATTTTCATTCTCAGTGCTGTACAGATATATTTTATTGTACATTTGATATATTTATAATTTTTTAGTGTCTGATTAGTGACCACATCCTGCTGAGCTGCCCGTGGGGCGGGAGGGAGGGGGTGGCGCACAAAAGGGCACTTCTGTCATTATTTCTGTGAAAATATGTAACAGTATTTCATTGTGGCATTTTGCTAAGCAGCAACTGAGGTGTGATGGGAATAAGTGTTAGATGCCTTGAGCAACTGATCCATTGAGTCTCTCTGTGTTAAGACTCATATCTGCTGTTGTGCTTATCTTTGTTCTACTAGAGTTAGTTTTCTTCCTATAATATAATCTGTTTCAAGGCCATTCTGTTGCTTTTGTATGGATATTCTGTGTCTGTGGACTTGGACCAAGGTAGATGTCTGGCTTATTTTACCAGGAATATTACCAAAGCACTACATTAATCTGTGTCCTGTATACAACTATATTGCCAATAGAATGAGCCCAAAATATGGTCATGTACTGTATGCTGCTAAACTAAAACACAGAAAAGGATAGTGGTGGGTGGGGACATCGTCTTCTGTCAGCGTAGAATAATGTGTAGGGCCTGTTGCTTAACAGATGTAGGATCATATATGCCCAATCTTTGTAAAACAAATAGCCAATAGAAGATAATAAATATGCTATATCCCTGCTCACTTGATTGAATGAGCCTCTCCAGCTTGATGCCTTCTGGATTTATCAGAGTTAAATTGCTGTAATCTCAACCAACATTGAACCAACCAATCTCAAAGCTGGAAATTATGGAAAGGGAGATTTAATCCAAGTAGAGGGCTCAAAAGCAGACTATTTTCTTTCATTTATCACTGGGCTACCCCTTAGCTAAGATCTTATCTAGCCACTTAGGATAGGCAAAAAAATTTATAGCACAAACTACAGCTTTTGTAAATACTAGTATCTAGAAGAGAAATATAACTCATCTGGAACATGTCTGATAAAGAATGAGCCCAATAGTCTTAAGAAAATGCTTTTAGCGCCAATACTGCTACTGATTTTATGTGCTTCCAAAGAAGGAGACCATGAGAAGATTGAAATGGCAGGCAACTTCATGGAGGTTCTCCATAAGATTCCAGGAATGAAGCAAGGTCTTTACAGTTTAAAACTCTTGTCTGAAACAGTATGCTATACAGTACATTTCTTATATCTTGGTCCAAACTCAAATCTTATCTAAGACATATAACTACATGTCGTAGTCTCTAAATTTTGCGGGCTTCCACTTTGATCAGCCTTTCCAGCATTGGAAAGATGTAGTTTTCTTATCAAAAATACGCGGACATTGTAAACCACCCAAAATATGCTGTAAAGCATTATGGGATAGTATTTAAGTCTAAGTGCTATTGCTATCTGGAAGCATGAGTTGCTTGAACCATACTCATGCTTAAGGTCAAAATGGATCCTATAACTACTCCTGGCTCACCTATGACATCATAAATTGAGTCCAACTTTCTGCCAACATGAGTTGATCCTTCTAGTCAATGAGTCAATGCTGCCAAGATATACTTCACTCTGGGTTCTAAAAAAAACTTATAAAGTAAACAATGAATGAAGATATGATGAATCCCAGTATGATGATATGTGGTTAGATTATTATGAGGTGAAATGGAATTATTATGAAAAAATATAGCAAGGAAGGGATGGCAATATTATCTGTCTGATTCTACGCAAATATAGGCATGCTTAGTTACCATATATGACCATGAGATGGCAGCATAGAAACTTTTCTTGCCATCTATAAACCATCTAAATTTTGTTGCTCTAATCTTAAATGTGCATCAGATTATTCTGTAAAACAAAAACACAGTGGGATTATTCTAAAGACAGCACCATTGAACATTAATGGCAGCTTTTGAAATTAGCTCAGCCTTTCTCCTGATAGTACCCTTTAGATGAGATGTGACTGCAGCTACTAGATTCTGCAAGCCACCACACTGTAAGCTGAGTTAGTTTAAGATGGTTAGTATTTTCAGACCCAAATGTTATCAGTCTGAAATTTTAACCTCAGAACTGAGTCTGGCGCTCATCAGTTCTACAATAATTCTATTCTGGATATTCTTTTACCAGTTGGTCCTTTGTGCTTTGCCTCAATGTTCTAATATTCCAGTCAGCCTCACTGACTGTAATCTTGAAATTAAGCATTGCTTTCAGATTACTGAAACATTCTGCAGTTTTTACAAAACATCTAGCAAGAAAAAAATACTCAACAATATAGCAGGAAGTCAAACGGTGAACCTACATTCTTATTGCATAATCTTCCCATACAGCTCAGGTGGCTTTATGAAGAATATTTTTAACCTACCAAATTTTACTAGGCATTCTTTTTATAGTATTGAATGTTAGGCTTTTTAAAGTGCTACTGGGTTCTGTAGGCAGCTACAAGTGGTACCTACCATAAGCCTGTAGTAATATTTAACTCTATGGTATAATTTCTCGGCTCCCACCAAGAAATTTCCATCAACCCGCTATAGTCCATAGCCTTGTGTCATACAGTATATAGACTATAACATAGAGTATATCAGACATAGAGAATTAAGGGGGGGGGAAACCTTTTTTTTAAACAAAGGAAGTCTCACATATGTCATCTTCATTTACAATAAAAAAACTACAATATTATTGAAACTGCTGCCAGAAGAAACTTTGATTGCCTAAATCGACTGATGTCATTCAAAATATCTTTGGGACAGAATAAATATACACTGATTTTACAGTAATCCAGAAAGATGGGGAAGAATTAATTAAATGCTATATTAACTCTATATTAATGCTAACTCTATCTCGTGGGGAAAGAGTTAGGATGAGGATAGTGTAGATCAGGGATAGTCAACCTTGGCTCTTTTATGAATCGTGGACTTTTAACTCCCAGAATTCCTGAGCCAGGAATCTGGTGTAGATTTAAATTTATCTTGCTGTACTGGATTAGCTGGTTCCCAAATTTGCCTCTTGAATCCATGCTAAGAAGGTCTGTGCATGAAATGAGGATGCTGAACTTGTGGGGGGAGGCTGCTGAGTTTTCTGAATTGCCTGCATAGAAAAAATGAGAAAGCCTATGGCTGATGAAACTAGATTGGGGGTGGGGGTGAATGGGAAGCACAATTTGTAGTGACTTATCTCATATACACCATAGCCAGTGTAACTATTATCCCAAGCACCCTGTGTCAGCAGGAGAATTATGTTGTATGGGAGAAATACTGTAACAACCCACAGCAGCCTGCAATTAAAAGAGTTTCTTCTTTACCTTGCATTGTCTTCTGGGCTTTTTTTTTTCCTGTGTGTCCCTTGTTTCAAAAGGCTTAGGGACAATATTCACAGGTTCTTGATATAGTGTGGAGTGCCAAGAAAGTTTCAGTGGTGTGTTTCTTCTATCCAAGGTATAAATTAAAGTTGGTTACCCACTCATCAACCCAATCTCAGGAAGCCCATTTGCTTCCACATTATACTATCCACTTTGGCTTACATGAATGTACCTGACTGTTTCAAAGATATCTCTAAAGAAGCCTTTTCCATCTAAGTGTCTTTCCAGAATAATCAGTGGTTGGCCCAGTGGCTGGGAACCATGGAGGGCATTTAGTTGTACACATGTGCCTTACTAATGGACCTCTATGTTGGTAGAAAACCATTTTGCCCTCCCACATCAGAAGGAAGATACTATTCATTCAATTTCCTTCATAAGTGGCATCTGAGATGAGTAGATTAAGATTCTGCAACTAGTAAGTATGAGAGGCTGGGAAAAGACCCTACCAGGGGGTGGATAGCAGCAATGTACATAAACCTTGATGACAGCTGCCCCATGTGTCTACTTCTGTTCCCCTCTGGATGTTGTACTACTATCTTGAATAGAGAGCAGGATTTGTTCTGAGTGCCTCATATAGGTAGCAATGCTAGGTAATTGCCTAAAATAAAGTTGTATAGGCTCAGACTGCACAGCCTGGAAAATGTGATACCATTCTGAGATGTAAATAACCACAAGATGTCTCTCTGCTCCCAGGATGTTGATCAAAGCTCCAACAAAGCTTGTTGATTTTATTCTTTTCTAATTGTAGTTTTGTGTCTTTGGCATAAAAAATGAAAAAGACCATGTATTTTGTAACAGAAGAGGAGCAAATTTTCTCCAAGATATTCCAATGTTCTGTTGAAGAGCTTTAAGACAATTAACAACAAAGCAACAATTAGCAACAAAGATTATTAGGGTGCTAAAGACTAAAATATATGAACAACGTTGCAACAATATCTGGTCTAGTGAAAAGAAGGTCTGGGTGACATGATAACAGTATTCCAATATTTGAGGGGCTGCCACAAAGAAGAGGGGTGAAGCTATTCTCCAAAGACCTGAAGGCAGGACAAGAAGCAATGGATGGAAACTAATCAAAGAAAGAAGCAACCTAGAACTAAGGAGAAATTTCCTGACAGTGAGAACAATTAACCAGTGGAATGGCTTGTCTTCAGGCGTTGTGGGTGCTCAATCGCTGGAGTTTTTAAGAAGAGATTGGAAAGCCACTTAGCCAGCCAGCCTTGTTCTTCTCAAGGATAATTCTGTCTATTTCCCTTTTAGTATTTTTCATTCCTTATTTGCCAACATTTTGTAACTAATTAATATATGCAATTTTTGTTGGGTTAATTCCTCCCTAAGGCATTTTTTTCACCCATACACACAGAAAAAGAAACTTTTTGTATTGATGCAAAACTGGGGTACCTTACATTTGTGCATGGAATTTGCATTGATAGGATCCTAGTTGATAGGATGTTTGATAATCACTTATATCCTCTACAGCAGAAGAGAACCTCAGAAGTTTTTAGGAATTAGATCTGGGACTGTTACTGTTGTTCCTCAGCATCTGCTGCTTGAAGCAGTTATATTGATTTGCTGATCAGGAGGGATGGCCCTGACTACCAACATTTTGCTTCGATTAAAATCTTTCCTGCTCAGATTAATATGTTTGTCTGCTGTTCTGCTTCCAGAAGCCTATCTCAGAAAACAAAAGAGGTGTTGTTCTAGAATCTTTAGTCTTTGACAAGAAATGCCGTATATACAATCTGACGTGTAAGAAAGAGGATGCACCTGTGAGATTTCAGGAAAAGATTAAGGTTTTTTATGGAGCTGCTAATAGGGGTGACTTGCATCCTCATGGACCCTCCTAATAACCTTTTCCTGTTCAGATCAAGATTGAGGTGCAGCTCTACAAGATAACAATCTAAAGCCCAGGGAGTTCAATTTCACATACTGCTAAAGTACCCAAAGTCCTCTCCTGCTGAGACTCTTCCAAACAACCTCCTTTATGACACAAAATAAACTAATAGGAGACAGGTGGGCAGGTAAACAATTGTAGCAAATCTTTACTGTTAGGACAAATATGATATCAGAGCCAATTGAAACAGGGAGAAAAACAAGCCAATGGGAGAGACTGCAAGAACCTAAGACTTTGGATGGTTCTCTTGGCCTCCCATAGTGATATATTCCTGCCTAATTTGAGACAAAAAAGCTCTGGATTCTACTCTATCCAGGCCAGTGTTTCTCAGACTCAGCAACACTAACACATGTGGACTTCAACTCCCAGAATATTCCAGCCAGCAGAACACCCCACAGCAGGCTGGAGAAATCTGGGAACTGAGGTCCACAGATCTTAAAGTTGCCAAGTTTGAGAAACTCTGGTCTAGGCACTCAGTCACATCTTAGAATAATTACATAGAAATAACCAGACTGGCAGCAGCAACAGAGAAAGCTTGTTTTCTCCTGGCTAAGTGGGACATATTTAACATTTCAGGATTTGTTTATATTTCCGAAGATTAGTCAAGCAATAATGGTATTTTTGATGGATCTGTGCTTAATCACTATCATCCCAATCTTTTCTACCCCAATAATCCTTTCATTTTATTAATCCTCTTCAGCCACAGCATGTCTCAACAGAATTTTTCTCATTACATATACCTAGGCTATTTCTTACTGACTTTTTTAATTATAGCCTTAAATAAACCTACTTGCTCCCATGAGGCAAATAAATTCTCCAGTGTCAGTGATGTGAAGTTGATTAAAAAGATGAAAAGTTCCTCAATTTGATCTCAATTTTTGAAATTCATGTCCCCTTATTAATATTAAACTTCAAAAGACAGATTACAAGTAGTCCTCGGCTTACAACAGTTCATTCAGTGACTGTTCAAAGTCACAGTGGCACTGAAAAAAGTGATTTATGACCATTTTTCATAGTTACAACCCTTGTAGCATTTCCACGATCACTTGATCAAAATTCAATAGCTTGGCAACTGATTCATACTTATGAACATTGCTGCGCCCCAAGGTCATGTGATCCCCTTTTGCCATCTTTTGATAAGCAAAGTCAATGGGGAAGCCAGATTCACTTAACAACCAGGTTACTAGCTTATCAACTGTAGGGATTCACTTAACAACTGTGGCAAGAAAGGTCGTAAAAAGTGGCAAAACTCACTTAACAAATGTCTCACTTAACAACAGAAATGTTGGGCTCAATTGTGGTTGTAAGTCAAGGACTACCTATACTTATTGAGGTGAGTATCAATCTAAAGTTCATATAATTCTGTATCTAAAATTTAGCATATGTATACAAGCTGAACATTCTACTTTTCAAAATAAATAATCAAATGTAGTATTATTCATTGACTTAGAACGACAAAAAGTAACTTATGGTAGTTCCCTGTAATAATTAAATTAATTGATCTGAAATGTTGCAGCTGATAGCTAGCTATGGCCAACCTCAAATCAGACACCATATAATCAGGAGGTGATGCTAGATGTTATGTGGCTACATCTTATGTGGTTGCTCAAAGTATATAGAAAGGAATCAGTCATTGGGTCTCTGCACTTCAGAGCTGCTTTGGGTTAATCCAAATGATGAACTAGTTTAAGATACTGTTCTGGACACAGTTCATCCAATTCAAAGTTTTCAATTTGCCTATATACCATCAACCATGGAATACCATACTCCAGTGTTTCTCAGCATTTGGAAAGTTCAAAATGCTTAGACTTAAACTTATAATTGCCAAGATTTAGAAACACTGCCATATCGTATTGCTTTTTACCCAAACCAGAGAAATCACTGAGTAATTGGGCCTCTCTAATACCAAGCATGGGTTATCTCAAATCATGCACTCACAGGTCCAGGAGAATAAATATTAATGTGATGGGACTCATTAAAAAAAACACATCAAACAAAGTTGGGTATACATTGAGCCAGTTAGTTCTGGAAAATAACTATCTATGACAGATAAGCTCAATGCCCAAATAACACATTCTTTTATAACACCTATTCATAATACAAGCTATCCTGCACTATTGCATACTTGCAACTCACCACAAGGAAAAATAGTTCCAGCTTTATGGGCCAGCACATTTTAAGCAACACATCAATTCTTAGGGGGAAGGATGAAATGGGTTCACACCAAGGATGATATGCTCCCAGTACATATTACTGCCTAATAAAATATGATTATTCCTTCAAGAGCAGTTAGACATGGCTACAATATTGGCTTTGCCCTTGAATTAGTCAAAGTTCTTATAAATAAATAGAACTGAGCACTCTGAATAACCCCCTCCCCCAAAAATGAATAGATAATAATAGTGTATTACCACGGTTACTTCCCTAGGAAAGTCTAAGAAATTTGGTAGGGAAGACTTATGCTGAGAATTAATATACAGTGGGGCAAAAAAGTATGTAGTCAGCCATCAATTGTGCAAGTTCTCCCACTTAAAAAGATGAGAGAGGCCTGTAATTGTCATCATAGGTAGACCTCAACTATGAGAGACAAAATGAGAAAACAAATCCAGACAATCACATTGTCTGATTTGGAAAGAATTTATTTGCAAATTATGGTGGAAAATAAGTATTTGGTCACCTATAAACAAGCAAGATTTCTGGCTCTCACAGACCTGTAACTTCTTCTTTAAGAGGCTCCTCTGTCCTCCACTCATTACCTGTATTAATGGCACCTGTTTGAACTTGTTATCAATATAAAAGACACCTGTCCACAACCTCAAACAGTCACACTCCAAACTCCACTATGGTGAAGATCAAAGAGCTGTTGAAGGACACCAGAAACAAAATTGTAGACCTGCACCAGGCTGGGAAGACTGAATCTGCAATAGGCAAGCAGCTTGGTGTGAAGAAATCAACTGTGGGAGCAATAATTAGAAAATGGAAGACATACAAGACCACTGATAATCTCCCTCGATCTGGGGCTCCACGCAAGATCTCACCCCGTGGGGTCAACATGATCACAAGAACGGTGAGCAAAAATCCCAGAACCACACGGGGGGACCTAGTGAATGACCTGCAGAGAGCTGGGACCAACGTAACAAAGGCAACCATCAGTAACACACTATGCCACCAGGGACTCAGATCCTGCAGTGCCAGACGTGTCCCCCTGCTTAAGCCAGTACATGTCTGGGCCCATCTGAAGTTTGCTAGAGAGCATTTGGATGATCCAGAAGACGACTGGGAGAATGTCCTATGGTCAGATGAAACCAAAGTAGAACTGTTTGGTAGAAACACAACTCATCGTGTTTGGAGGAGAGAGAATGCTGAGTTGCATCCAAAGAACACCATACCTACTATGAAGCAACATCATTCTTTGGGGCTGTTTCTCTGCAAAGGGACCAGGACGACTGATCCATGTACAGGAAAGAATGAATGGGGCCATGTATCATGAGATTTTGAGCGCAAACCTCCTTCCATCAGCAAGGGCACTGAAGATGAAATGTGGCTGGGTCTTTCAGCATGACAATGATCCCAAACAAAGGAGTGGCTTCGTAAGAAGCATTTCAAGGACCTGGAGTGGCCTAGCCAGTCTCCAGATCTCAACCCCGTAGAAAACCTTTGGAGGGAGTTGAAAGTCCATGTTGCCCAGCGACAGCCCCAAAGCATCACTGCTCTAGAGATCTGCACGGAGGAATGGGCCAACATACCAGCAACAGTGTGTGCCAACCTTGTGAAGACTTACAGAAAACGTTTGACCTCTGTCATTGCCAACAAAGGATATATAACAAAGTATTGAGATGAACTTTTGATATTGACCAAATACTTATTTTCCACCATAATTTGCAAATAAATTCTTTCCAAATCAGACAATGTGATTGTCTGGATTTGTTTTTTCATTTTGTCTCTCATAGTTGAGGTCTACCTATGATGACAATTACAGGCCTCTCTCATCTTTTTAAGTGGGAGAACTTGCACAATTGGTGGCTGACTAAATACTTTTTTGCCCCACTGTATAGTGAAGAATTTTCTCTTCTGAGAATTTCAATAGTCACTAAACAGTCAGCTTATTGGTATTTTACTGACAAAGTTGCTGTATCACCCAATTAATTATCTATATTTCTCAACCTGTTGTGTAACTTTTGATTTTCTTAAAAAATATGAGTAAATGTAAATACAATCTATTAAAATATCAAGAGTTATATATGTAGGACATTATTCTAAAACTTGGAATTATAATGTCAGGAATTCTGAAGTGGGGGAACAATTACTTGGGGGTAGTGAAACACTTTGCTTCCTTAATAGAAAAGTCACTGTATCCTATCACCCACTCAGCCAGAAAGAAGAGCCCATCTCTCTTGATTTGTAGAATACCTCTTACAGCATTTTTCCTACTGTGCATCCAAAATCTGCTCCTTGAACTTAAGCCTACTGGATTCATGCTCTGACTTCGTGTGTAAAGTAATTTCCTCTGTGCCATAAGCATTTGTTGTCTGCAAGTCACTGTTTTTATAACATGGAGTATTCCGTCTGGGGCAGGAATATTAACAAGTCAAAAAGAAACGAAATACAAGGCATCAGCCGCAACAAGGAATGACAGCCGTTACCAAGCAACGCAGACAGCGATTGGCTGGATGGGCCAAAAGTATGGACTTCCAAATCCATCTCTCGTGTTCTTTGTTGCTTCTTCTCCTGAAATGATTCAAGATTTCAGATTTCTCATTTTCTGCATTTGATCGGGGGAGAATTAGGATCTCCTTTGGAACTAGCGCATTTCTACTACTCAGCCTAGGAGGCCTCAGCGAGATACGTTTTTCCATTTTCTCCACTCCAAGAGGGCTTGTTTTGCTAGATAAAATGCAAAAGGAAACACGCGGCGAGCTTGGCCCATAATCGTCCGCGCGCCCCGACTGTGCCAAGGCATAAAGCATCTTGCCAGCTCCTGCTCGACTTGGAAGACGGGCTGGGTAGGGCAGGACAGGGGAGGGCCGGGCATGCACGAGCCGAGTATCCGGGCAACAGGCAAGCACAAAACCATTCAGAGGAAAAACGGCGGGGCTACCAAATTCCCGCCGCCCTGCAGGCGAGCGCCCTCTCAGGGCTTCAAGAGAAACGCGCCCGCTTCTGCTGGCTTTGCGCCTCCTGTGGCGTTTCGGCTCAACAATTTGGCTCCGCTTTGCCGTCTGGATGTTTTGTGGCAAAAAGAGCTACGGGCGGCACTGTCCGCAGACTCCCTCCTTCCGGCTTTCCTCGCGCTGCAACTTGTGGATTGCGCCAAGCTGCCCCTCGCCGGCAGCCCTACCCCCTCCTCCAGCCCCTCCCAGTCCGGGAGGAGGGGAAGAAGAGAGGCAAGCGCGCGCGAGAGAGAAAGAGCCCAAGTCGCCCTAGCGGTGCGCCCCTTCCACTCCCTCTCGCCCTTCCACAGTTTGAAAATGCCACAGCACCAAGCGGGCTCGGGTTGCTCCGGCTTTCTCGCAAGCGCACCTGACGCCCGACGAGCCCACCCGCCCCCTTTCGCCTCGGCCGTGGAAAGACCGTTGCTCTCCCGCTTAGACCCGATGGTCTCCGACGGGAAGCGGATCCTGTCGGAAGCCTGAATCTTTTTGTCCAAGCCAGCTGGCCGGAGAGAGCCAAGCCCCGCTCGGAGCCTCCCTGCCCTCGGCTCTCTGGGATTGCTACGGCGCGGAACCTAAGAGTCAACCTAAGAGTCAACTGCCGAGGATGCGCCTTGTGGCGTCGGCTTTTCTTACCGGCTCCTCGCCTCGGCCAAGGAAACGGCACGGGGGCTTTCTGCCGTGCTGACGAGGTCGGTGTTTTTGTCTTCCGATCGCCTGGAAGGGAAAGGCGGGCCATCGCGCCAGGCTTTTGCCATCGCGCCAGGCTTTTGGGACGAGGGGGAGGCAAGGCGAGACCCGGCGAATTGGTTGCGTATCTCGAGTGTGCGTGAAGGAGAGAAGCGTGTTTGTTTTTTTTATCCGAGGAGGTCTTCCGAAGTTTAAAATCGTCTGGAAAGTCACGTCGAGCTCTCTTCTCTACTTTGCAAGACCTGGCTCTTTACCAACCTGCTGAGCCCGGGCAGCGGCGGAAAGCAGAAGAGGCGTTTCTTCCAACTCCTCGGAACCTCTTCTGGGGGGGGGGGTATTGGTTCTCCGGTTCCTTTTCGTTTGGCCGGGAGCCCCGGGCCATAGATGCATTCCCCGCCTCGTCGCTTCAGTTCTGTGGCCATTTGCTTCCAGCCCGCCCAAAAGGAGATATAATCCTTCTGCTATCTTGGTTGGCCAGACAAGGGCCGTTTCCTTCCACCTCGGGGCTTTGCTCCCGGCGCTACCGAGGCACTTGTTGCAGCTCCTCGCTGGGGTTTGGGAGGCTTGAGAAGACTTCCTTTCCTCCCTCCAAAATAAGGGCGGGTGTTCAGCCCAGCTCGATCCCACCAGCCCCCTCAGGGTGCAACTGGTGCAGGGCCTCTCTCTGCTTATTTCCCGCTGTTTCTGGGCCAGAAGGAATAAGGGTTATTATAGAAGCACTTCTGGCCCACCTAACCTAATCTATGATCAGCTCCGTGTGTGTCTCATCTTACCGTGGGCGCAAATCAGGGAACAAGCCACCTTCCAAAACATGCCTGAAGGAAGAGATGGGCAAAGGAGAAGAGTCAGACAAGATCACGATCAACGTGGGGGGCACCCGGCATGAGACCTACAAGAGCACTTTGCGCACCCTGCCTGGAACCCGCCTGGCTTGGCTGGCAGATCCCGATGCCCAGAGCAATTTTGACTTTGACGGACAAAGCAATGAGTTTTTCTTTGACCGCCATCCAGGTATTTTCTCTTACGTGTTGAATTACTACCGCACGGGCAAACTACACTGCCCAGCAGACATCTGTGGGCCCCTCTTTGAAGAGGAGCTGACCTACTGGGGCATTGACGAGACTGATGTGGAGCCCTGCTGCTGGATGACTTATCGGCAGCACCGGGATGCTGAGGAAGCCCTGGATATCTTTGAGAGCCCTGAGCCTGGCAGTGGGCTGGCTGGGGAAGAGACTGAAGATGAAGGGGCCCGGGAGATGACCCTTCAACACCTGGGCATGGAGGATAGGCCTCCTGGGGCCACAGGAGGAGGAGGAGGAAGTGGCTGTTGCCGCAACTGGCAGCCTAAGATGTGGGCACTGTTTGAGGATCCCTATTCATCAAAGGCAGCCCGGGTGAGTCACTAAGAGAGGACAGGGAAACTGGAGACCCGGTTTCCTAGGGTGGATAGGTGGGTAGCTAGGCATGTGCCTCACTTCTAATGCTCAGAATACAATTTGATGCCCTTCTGATATGGAGGACTACAAGTCCCATCATTCCTAGGCAACATTACCAGTGACCAGTTAGGGTGAAAGGCACTGTGTTGTAGCATATCTGATTGAGGAAGATTGAATTAGTCACTTGGGACTGGGGACATGCAAAACAAAAAGGGAGGCCCTCCCCTCCATGGTTTTTTTTATGGATTTAATAGTTGCTTTACATTTCAAGCTTTCAAAGTTTTCAGTGGGGCTCTTCATCTGAGAGTAATCCCTGCTTGCTCTGCTGCTTCTCTTATTTTCCCCTTTATTTGCCTTTTCTGATACAGGTAACCTGTCTTGCTCTTGCACTTTCATTGTGTATGTGTTTTTATTGTGCATGGTGAATACCTAGCTATTTTATATTCCCAAGTTATTTATCAGTACTGCACAACTCTCTGCAGAGAAGAACAGAGCTTATATTTAAGAGTCTCTTTGGAGGTTTGGAAAACTCTGCTTACCAGCATGTCCTTTTCCTCCCATTGAATCCAACATTCGACAATTTGGAGAAGCCTAATAAGATTTTTTTTCTTTGTATATTCTTTTTTATAGCTGCAGGATTGCCAGGCAGAATTTACTAGTGGTATAAGATCTAGTATACATCAGAACAAGGATAGTACTGGTAGTTCCCTTGGTATTAGTCAGACATTTCTGATTCTCCATTGTTAAACAATAATAAGAGCAAAATGATTTTGCTGCTGAAATTAGGTAGCTAAAATACAAGTAAGCTTTGTGCAGTCATGAGTGGACCTTTGTATAAAAGAACTGTACTCTGAGTTTAATTCGGTACAGAAGATTTCCTCTTAAACTGAGAGACATCCAACAGGGCTCCATCAAGAAAGATTTCATTTGTCCAAATCTGTTCATCTCTAGCAAACAAAGTTCTATTGTGTTTGCCCATTTACAGAACTCCACATACACCTGCACAACAAACATCAAAGAAACTTACTAGACTTAATTTTGTCCTACCTTTTTCTTTCTATTGTGCTATGTTTTCCTACAGTTTCCCCATATCTGAATGAATTCACCCTTAATATTTTCAATAACATGCAAACAAATCAGCAATACCTGGATGGTAGAAATTGAGGTCTAATAGAAATCCCTGTGTTAGTTTTCTATAGAGATTCTGTTTCCTTTCTTTTTTTAATAAACACGTTGTTTGTGCATTTTAATAGAAATATATTTGTTTCATTCCCAGTCAAGCCCATGTAAATCAGTAATGGGCAATGTCCACTTTTCTTTGCTCTTCATAATTTTTTTTATAAGTTCATTTTTGCGATACAGGCAAACTCTTGATTTTACATTCAAGAAACAAATATCCATATATCTGCTTTAGAACATAGAATAACAGGATCGGAAGGGACCTTGCAGATCTTTTAGTCCAATCCCCTGCTCAATCTCTTCTTGAAAGCCTCCATTGATGAATTTCTTAATCATGTGGTATATATACATTTTGCCATATATATTCTGAGCTTTCCATCTTGTGTATAACACTTGGATAAAGAACATAGTAAGATTTAAAAGTGTAAACTCTGAACCTAGTTTTGCCTCTCAAAAAGTTCTCTTCAAAATATATATTCCATAGGGAGGGTTAACTGGGAAGTGTCAATAAAATTTATCCAAAATATTTTCTGTCACCTAAATTCAGACAATTTAGGGGTTCATATCCCCAAAAGATTCATTTTAGATGGAATTTATAACCTATTTATAATGTATAAGTCTCAAAGACCTTAGATTTCTACTGTTGATCAGAAGATATAAACAGATTTGTTGAAAACCATCTTCTAGATTTTTCTGCATCACCTTTGGCTGAATCTTGCCTACTTAGGAAAAAAAAATTGTGATTTTTCTCCATGGCTGGGAGATGAAAAGTTGATCATAGATGAGAAATGAACAATTTTGCTAATAAGGATCATCAATATCAAGCAAATGGAGAGTGAGGACAGCCTCTTTCCAGCTTGTTATGAATCCATAAAAACATGGTTATTTCATTTCAGTTTTCCCTCAGTAGCTAACTACCTTTTTAAACCTTCCGTTTTCTTTTTTTTAAAAGAAAGAATCAGTGTTATTAATGAGGAAAATATTTCAACCTGTTGGAGAAGATAAAAATAAGTGATCCAATATCAAGGTCAAATAGAGAATCTGGAAAGGGCACAGAGCCATTACATAAGAACATCCAACATTGCCTAAATTAAGGGAGACAAAATATATATTAGCCTCTGGCCAACCTGTCCTGGTTGAATTCACTGCACTCTAAAAGAATTGACAACATTTGGCAATTGAGGTTCCATTCTTCTTCATTTCCAGGCTTCTTCCCAACTATGATAAGGATTTTAAAAAATCTAGAAAAAAATCAGCAAAGGTATCTCAACATTTATCAAGTACCTATTCTAATATCAGCATTGGATTCAAAAAGAATGTTTAAACAGTGAGTAAAACATGAATAGGATATCTTGCAAAGTCCTTTTATAATTAACTAGTGCAGAAAAACCCTTTTTCCTAAGAAGTTCTATTGGAAAGGCATATGAACACCTTGTTGTGACAGCCATGAGGCTGTCAGAATATATCTATTTGTTTATAAACTCACTATGGCCGTCTGCCTTCCATCCATCTCTCATTATGCAACAGCCATTTTGTTGACTCCCACTCTCTTCATCTTCCTGTAGGGCATTATTTTTCAAACTTGGCAACATTAAGACACTGGACTTCCAACTTCCAGAATTCCCCAATTATAGTTGATCTTAATGTTGCCAACTTTGAAAAGCATTGCAGTAGAACCACCAAGGGCATAATATAACCTGCCAGACAGAATCTCAAGAAGTTTCCTTCATAAACCTGATTGTGCGGTAGTTTCCCCAAACTGGCAATGGAGAGAAAAACACTCCTAGCAAGGAAAACAAACCCTTTCATGAGGGGAAAAGCATCAGTGAAGGAAACAGCTGTCCTTCATCACAAGGCGCCCCATAGGGAGTTGATGGGAGCCTAGTAGAGGAAAATGACCAAGGACAGGAACTTAAGCCATATCTTTGACTTCCAGGACAAGCATCCAGGATAGGCAGACCACAGAAAAGAGAGCAGCAATTATTAACTCTGCCATCATGTGTATCAACATGCAAGTAGAGCTCTTATTATTAGGAACCTCACTATTTGTGTAGATATAGGAGTGAGTGTGTGAAAGTTTTCAGAGTTTCAGCATGAGAGGCATCTGTGGCCGTCTCCCCCCCCACTGGTATCCTTGATGGCTGGGATGCCAGAACTCCAAGGGTAAGTTCTATAATGGAGAATCATGGCAATAGACTGGTACACCTCTATTTCGCACATGATTTGCTTAATTGTACTTTGTTGAATGGACCATAGCTGACTGGGTTCACAGTTCATAATAAATCTTGAATTATAGTTCAAAAATTGCATGGGTGAATTCACACAACATCAAAAGCAAATATGTTATGGCTTAGTAGGTTGGATAAACCTGGTTATTCAACATATGGATTGAGGAAATGGGAGAATAAGCATACTGTAGTCTTATATTTCAGTAAAAACTGATTATGAAATGATTTGAGAGCAAATTATCAATGGTTACCATTTTGGTAAGGAAAGTGCCCGGGCTCAATTCTGCTTGGGGACATGACTTCTAATTTGCACAGTTTGCTCCTAATCCTAGATTATGTGAGTCCCAACAGGTAGGAATGTTTCTTGTATTCTAGCACAGTTTTGATACCTTTTAAGAGTAAAGCTTGACTTGAAGACTTTATTTATTTTTTGTTATTAGGCTTTTAATCATTCTTTAATTTTAGTCTTGATTTTAAAACTTTTTAATATTTTGTAGCCTACTTTTTCTTAGCCACTGAAGTAGAAAGACAACATATAGCTGGATTAAATAGAAACAGTTAAGACTCATACACAGCATACCACATATTTTAAATGTATACACAAATGTACAGTTATATTTCTTCAAGAAAGTTAACAACATTCCACAATGATTTCAAGTGATTACAGTGTTTGACTACACTAATCATCCCTTTCTAACTAAGCTCATAACAGAGAGGGGGGAGCTATTATATCAATTCTGTCCAACTTTTCTCTTTAGTTCAAAAGCACCTCTGTAACAGAATTCATTTTTTTTACAAGACTGATTTGCTAGATGTCCAGCACACCATGGGCAGTGGTAGTTTCACTGTTTATTTGTAAGGTAGAAAGCCTGCATGCATTGACTTGGATAATTTATGCCATGGGGTTAATATGTTATAATAGTAAGCAAGTAGTCTCATTTGCCTTGTGCAAGCAGTTTGGGTGTCCATGGAACCACTGTGAACCATGATGTAGGATGAAGCTTATTTATTATTGCTTCCAGGCTTCGGAACTACCCACCACATAAGCCACTTATACTAGCCCTTTGGCACACAAAGTTTTTAGTAGATGGTTCAAAAGATCAGGTAGCTTTGGATCGATTATATCTTCATTTGTGCAGGATGTATCATTTGCCATCTCTGAATTACTCGCCAAAGTTTTTGATAAGCAGCTTGTATATGAGTGATGGGTCCTTTGTAGTTTTTGTTGAAAGAGGAGGCAAATGGCAAATGGAAGAGCTTTGCTACATATTGGAGGAGGAGGGTTAGTCCAGGCTGGTCTTCTTCAGCTGCCACTACAGATAGTCTTTGTTGAAGATACCACCTAGAATCATGATGCCGAGGATTGCAGTTTCGACAGGAGAAGGCAGAAGTGGGTTCTAAAACAAAATGAGATGGAATCAACTTTGTTTCACATCATGTCATGCTTAGAAGTGAGGGGACCATTTACAATGCCTCTTTGAAACCTTCAGCAAAGCACTCCTTTGAAACTTTGTTCAACCTTTAAATTAAATTAAATTGATAACATTCCAAATTGAGCACTGTAATACTACACTCTTCTGGAGCTAAATAGGAAGGCTACCCACAAGCCCCCATTGCTTTAGAAGGGGACAACTAAATTTATTAAATTTATAGAATCAATTTACATCAGAATTCTTCAGCTAACAAGGAGTGTCCATTGTACTTTCCTCTGATTGTATGCTATGTCTCCTCCTCTTATAAGCAAGGATGGCTTTAAAAAAAATCACAGTTCTATCCAGTATTTGTTTACAGTGCTCTCTTTGGCTCTGGCTTATTCATTTGGCTTTTGGTAGCTTGTTTTGACAATAGAAAATCAAAGTCCCTAGATCAGGAAGCATACTAAATTGCAGATACATGGAATTGTCCAAGGTGTGTTAATTATACTGGTTTCAGGAGGAACAAGTTGACATTGCTCATTTTGAAAAATTCTGATTTAGTGTGTCATATAAATATAATGGGCAGCATGTTTCCAGATTCAAGAATTGAGCTTTGATTTATAAATGCTATTTATTTCGAGGTTAGAGAATGAAAGAAAATTGGACCTGTAATATGCCTTCATCTCATACCAACTTATTTTCTTCCTATTGAAAGGGGAAGAATTCCTTGGAAATGATCACAGAGAAGTCACAATGTTAAGGAAGGCAATTTTTTGCCACTATTTCTGATACATATTATACTAGTATTAAAAACATATGTTTTGCCAACATTCTGTTTATTTTTGGGCTGCTGATTTTAAATTAATTTTAAAGTAAAAAACAATTTCATGGAAGTGTACACCTTAGCAGAATTATTTTGTCCTGTCTTTTTATATACGGTAAGTGTATTTACTAAAGGAGAGAGAGAGAAAAAATTCCAGTTTCGTATGTCATATAAACATAATGGGTAGCATGTTTCCAGATTTAAGAACTGAGCTTAAGAATGCTCAAGTAAGAATTGGGTTGTTGTTTTATGGTTATTTTTTTAATAGGCTCTTTTGTGGGACTTGGAGGAAAAGATAGCATGGAGATAAATAAAGTTACAGGCATTCCTTTCTTCATTTGTACCTTCAGACTACCATTTCCATCCAGAAAACAGAGTTATATTAGTGTCCTTTTGAGTTAATTTTCACAATATACCACTGTAATGGTTATAGGCTAACCCAGGGGTCTTCAAACTTGGCCCTTTTATGACTTGTGGATTTCAACTCCCAGAATTCCTCAGCCAGGCACATGTGCCTGGCTGAGGAATTCTGGGAGTTGAAATCCACAAGTCATAAAAGGGCCAAGTTTGAAGACCCCTGGGTTAATCAATGCCATAGAGGAGAAGTGAAAACCTCTTGACTTTTGCAACATGCTGGTTACTAATTCAGTAAGAGTGCTTGATAGGGTTGATGAAAATGGTGCATATTTGTGTGCATGTTTTTGTACTCGTTTTACATTTGTCCCAGTTACGCAGTTTTTGAAATATCCTGCATTTTGAGGAGCTGCAGCCAAGAATTTCTCTTTAGAAAACAGGCTGGAAATGCTATCAAGGGGGTATCACTGAGTAGGTTCAATGTCAAATGACATTTAAGCAAGGTAAATCGAAACAGCTGATTTTTTAAGTGTGTTTAAGTTTTATTTTCTTAAAGTCTCAGTGCAATTGATTATATTGCTAGATCCTGTATTTAATGGTGTTTTAAAATCAGATTAGATATAGAGTTTGCATTTGATTGTTCTGTTACACAATCACTGATTGCTTAATTGGAAATGAGACTTAGTTACCATAAGCCACAGGTTATGATACCATTTGAGAAATCATTGTGGAGAGAAGATAGAAAACAGTGACTGTATAATAATAAAAATTGGCAATTATTTCCATAACATGGAATAAAACAGTTCTGTTCAGTAATAACCATTGTTTCCCTTTAGAAATTCCTCATTTTCTAAACTTGTTTGATACGTGATGTGAATGATTGTTGATCAGAAGAGGCAAACCTGCAGCTCCCTTGGGTATTTAACTAGTTTTACTATATATCGAAATATGCTTGCACATATACAGAAAAAGCAAAATGGAAATACATTAAGTGATAAATAATCACATTTTATAAGTGATATATCAGTTCCATCCAAAAGGCATGTTGTAGGTTTGATTATAAAAGACTCTTAGATTGTTTTTCTAAGTAACATGAAAATTCCAATTAGTAGTAAAACTATTGTATAGGGTAGCAAATAGTTTCCTGGATTAACAAATAAGTAACATGATTTTAAATAATAGTCTCCTTATTCTTTTGAATCGTCAGAGCTTTGCTACCACTGCTCATGAAATAAAGCAGAGAAGTAGCTATCTTGCATATTCATATAAGTGTTAATTCCTTCCTTTGTTGGCAAACTAATCTGCAGAGGAAAATCAACATAAATGAGGCTGGAGCAGAAGCAAATGTAATCAGTTGCAGCTGGGCAATTGAATTCTCTGTTTATTGTTAATATCAGGGGAAGGTGTTAGATTAGTCTTTGGGATGGAAGGTAAAACCAAATCTGCCAATAAATTTTACTGTTGTCTGTGAGATGACAAATTTCATGCTGCAAAAGAATTGAACTGAATTAAGAGAAGCTGAATCTCATTTGCTCAGTCTGTGTCTAACACCTGAGTACAAATATATTTATTATTATTATTCCTATTACTATTGCACAGTTTAGTGAGGCTAACTTAAAAGTAAAATCTATAGAATTGGAACATGAATCACTTGTTTCTACCTTATGATTTATGGTTGTAACTATAATTTATGATCTATGGCATCACTTTGTTGTTTGTATGTACACTGAGAGCTTATGCACTGATCACACTTGGCTAATAAAGAATATTCTATGAGTAGTTCTAATAGATGGGAAGATTGAAAACTGGGATCCTCAATTTTGATGGTCTACAATGGATCATAGGAAAGAGAAGAAGAGGGCTCTATAAACTGTATAAGGATGAGATTAGGTCTCATCCTAGATTCAAATGAAGCACGCTTCTTTATTCCAAGCTTTCTTTGTAATGGTTAAAATGAAAAAGGTAGAGAATAAAAGTTTTAAAACTTGTAATCTTGTCTCTTAGATTGCTTTTCTTCACCCATAGTTCTTTTAACCATTGAGCATATTTTTCTCTTCTTTTCCAGATCATTGCCTTTGCTTCACTTTTTTTTATTCTAGTATCCATCACAACTTTTTGTCTGGAGACACATGAAGCCTTCATCATAGATACCAATGTGACTGAGACCCTAGTAGTGGGCAACACAACTGAGATTGTTGTAATGAAAAAGATGGAGACAGAGCCTATTCTCACCTGTATTGAAGGAGTTTGTGTGCTGTGGTTCACTCTAGAGTTTCTGGTGCGCATTGTTTGCTGCCCGAATAAATTGATCTTCATTAAGAACCTTCTTAACATCATTGACTTTGTAGCCATCCTACCCTTCTATTTAGAGGTGGGACTCAGTGGCCTATCATCCAAAGCTGCACGGGATGTGCTGGGCTTCCTGAGGGTAGTTCGTTTTGTCAGAATCCTCCGAATTTTCAAGCTGACCCGCCATTTTGTGGGACTTCGGGTGTTGGGCCATACACTCCGGGCCAGTACCAATGAATTCCTCCTTCTCATCATCTTCCTGGCTCTAGGAGTTTTGATTTTTGCTACCATGATCTATTATGCCGAAAGGATTGGTGCCAAGCCATCTGATCCTAGTGGTAGTGACCATACCCACTTTAAGAATATTCCCATAGGATTTTGGTGGGCAGTGGTAACTATGACAACTTTGGGTTATGGAGACATGTATCCAAAAACTTGGTCAGGCATGTTGGTGGGAGCTCTTTGTGCCCTGGCTGGTGTTCTTACCATTGCTATGCCTGTTCCAGTCATTGTCAACAATTTCGGAATGTATTATTCATTGGCCATGGCAAAGCAAAAGCTCCCAAAGAAGAAGAAGAAGCACATACCCCGTCCAGCACCACTTGACTCTCCAACGTTCTGCAAATCAGAGGACAACTCACCTCACAACAGTATTCAGAGTTACAACAGTCCTATAGCGGCAGCAACAGCAGCTGGTGTGATGGAGAGGAAAAGATCAGGTGAGATGTAAGATTTCAGACTAACCAAAACCCATAAATAGAGAGAAGTGGTAAGAAGATTCTGGACATAAATTTGTGGATGTGTAAAGCAGTGGCTCTAAAAGAAGTATATGTTAGGTAAGATTATATATACATATGGTGTAGGGCAGAGATCCCCAACCTTTTGGGCACCAGGGACCGGTTCTGTGGAGAGAGGTTTTTCTGCGGACTGGAAAGTGCGTGGTTTTGTGTGCTGCCTGCATCTCATGGATAGGCCTTTGCGTGTTTGTGTGGACCGGTTGCTGGCATGTCACAGCCCAGTACTGGTCCACGGACCAGGGGTTGGGGACCTCTGGGGTAGGGTATCATTTGGATAAAGGTATGTTGTTTGGGGAAAGCACAGAAAATTTTTCCTCTAATTATTGATCTTAACTATACTTACAATAGTGACCACAGGGAGAGAAATGGGATCACTAGGCCAGACTGAGTTTTGTCCGTTTTAGAAGATGAATAAATACAAGTCTGTCTAAAAAGGATAATTTCCCATCCTACTTTGAACAATAGTTTATATTCTGCTATCATATTTCACACAGTGGCATTCATAAGATTTCCAGAGTCAAAAATTGCTTGGTGCCTACTTCCTTTAATATGTAAAGTCATGCTCTTTGCAATCTAATGTTGCATTTAAGTGGTCTATCATGCCTGCTCTGTTTGAATGATCTCCATTCTTCTTAAGCATTGATTAACCATCTGACCTTTTCTACAGCAATAAGTCTCTGAGGATTGTCTTTGGAGTCCCAAGTCAGTCAGGCAAGTCATAATGGTCTGTTGTCTGGAGTGTGCAGTTAAGAGTCTTCCAGTAAATGATTTCAGAATGGACTGCATGGGATGTGGTTGGTACGTACATAGTTGTACATCTCAAACTCAGATGTGCAGAGGAATCTGCAGAGAGCAGCTCAATGCATTTCCGTACGTGAAACGGAAGAGGAGATGGCTCCTCCTTTTTCACATATCTTATCCAAAAGCTGCTCTTTTGACACTTAATACAGAAAATCCCATGCTTATTTTTCTCTAATTAAAACTACTTATTAATAAAATAAGACTGAGTTCATATGTTTCACTAGGCGTATGTTCACTTGACGTACTTACTCATCCCAATACACTAAACCGTGAAGTAATCGTGTGTACTGAGTTTGTGCAACATTTGAATACTGGGCTCCTTTCTGGTTCAGTGTGTCATGCAAACACCATTTAGTCATGTGGCCATGGGCATTCTTTTGATTTTGTCTTAGTATATTGTCTCAATCCAGTTATTATGACCCCTGAACACCATGGTTTGTTCTACTATATTTTAGTGAGATGGTAGATATAGGCTATGATATATATATACTGAGAATAACAGGGTCTTATTTTAGAGAACTCAATGTTAAATTGTACTTTAGTTGGTGGAAGAAAAAGAGAAGTCAGTGGAGGAAAGTTTTTGTAATCTTTAGGACCTGTGAGCCTTTTTTGCTACTACCAACCTATTAGACAGCTTGCATCTTAGGACAGAAGGACTAGAAAGTAAGACAAAACTTTTTTTATACTAGTTTATACTGGTTTGATCTGATGTATTGTGGGAAACAGCAAGGAGCAGAGATTGAAAAAGACAACTCTTCTTCAGCATTCTAGAGTCTGGACCAAGAACTAGCAGCATTTCTGCTTGAGGGATTCCCATGGCTGAGGGTACCTCTCCAGTTGCATATATGTGTTGATGGCATATAGCAGCAGCTTAGCAGAATTGTGAAGAAAGTGACTGATTTTCTGGCCCCGGAGATGGGATGGGTTACGACAGGCCATCAGTTGGACAGCGGCAAGGACAGTCCACAAGTCATAAAAGGGCCAAGTTTGAAGACCCCTGCTTAAATACCTCATTATATGGCCAGGCTGGAATAGACTTGGCTTCTTGAATGGCATGTCTCTGTATTTCAATAACAAACAAAATTAAAACTTAAAAAGAAAATCTCAGCTCTGAGGAGCACTTTGTTTTCCCCTAGTGCAACATATGTAACAGAAAGCAAATCTTTTCATTATTTTAAGTTTTCAGTTTCTTCCAGTTTGTAACTGAAAGCCAATGAAATAATTTCAGCAATTGGATTAACAGACTGTGCAACATTGCTGGATAAACATGTTGACTAAGCCATCGGCCTAATTCAAAAGTCACATTTAATCATTGTTTTCTGAATAAGCCCCAGTTAGCTAGACTCATACTACGCTACACTACAAGCAATAATTTATCACTCACAAGGACTGGTTTCACACAGCATGTAAGTAAAAACCAAATAAGTCACATTTGGGCTTAATTCAAATTGTGTACCCAATCTGTAACACCTTTCCCCCCACCTACAGTATTGTCTTCCCAGTGTGTTGGAACAATAAACCGGATTTAGTGTTTTGCATAAATCATAGGCAGATTGCATCTCTTGTCACTTGACAGAAGTTTGATGATTATCCAAATGCTGTAAAATCTTTCCTCATCTTATAGCTTTACAGTTGTGTTGGGATTACAGCAGTCTGGGATTTCAATACATTTAATATATTAGGCTGAGGAAGGCTGCTCTGTTACTAATAACTTAAGGAAACCAGATATGGTACAACTTTCATCAGTTGCAAAGACTGAGTTTCTGGATGAATCTCCCAGCAAGAAAACCAAGAAGACTGAGACACGAGGTGTGAGCAGGTCATTTGTATCATTTTTTTCAGTCTCAGATAAGGAATATTCATGAGAAGTAAAGATTTAGCCTAGAACAACTTTATCAGTACTTGAGTGTTACATTTACTATATTATGACTGATATCTGACTATACATTCATGAACAGAATGCTGTTTCTAGAAAACTTCAGTTTCTGTGGAAACCATACTGCAGTCACCATAGCATTAATACACAGTACATGTTTATAGACATTTTCTGTAAGCTGTGTCTCTTGAAACATAGGGGTATATATAGGACTGATGTTTTGATACTTTCTCCCCTCAATATTAGTGGATTCACCATCATATATTGGTGAAAGGACTGAACGCCAAACTCCAGTCAAGAAGGTGAGAAATTGATTCCAATATACTTTGGAAATGACACTAAAAATGAAAATGCCTCTTCTGGATTATGTCATATAATCTTTTATATACAGTATATATAAATTATTCATTTTCCTGTTGCCAAAGCAGGTGCAGATTTGGCTAATTCTGGCTTCAAAAGTTGATCTTTCTTTCTTTCTTTCTTTCTTTCTTTCTTTCTTTCTTTCTTTCTTTCTTTCTTTCTCTCTCTCTCTCTTTTTCTTTCTTTCTTTCTTTCTTTCTCCTTCTAAGACACCAAGCAGAATGGAGATGCCAATGTGGTTCTGTCAGATGAAGATCAACCTCTTTCGTCACCGCAAGAGGAAAAGCACCTCATGAGAGGCTCAAGTACCAGGGACAAAAACAAGAAAGCAGCAACCTGCTTTCTCCTGAGCACTGGGGATTTCTCTTGTGCTGCTGATGGTAGCATCCGGAAAGGTATGAAGGAGATTGCAAGATGTGTGTTGGTGAATGGAGGGAAGGTTGTGAAATATTAAATAATATAGATGGGGCATGTTTTGCAGTTGGCTGTAACTGACAAACAATGGCAATGCTACTTTTGAAAAACAGTTGACCTCTCTGCACAATCTCGGTTTGTGATAGAGTTGATCGGTAGAGACCCAAGCTATATTTCTACAACCTTTCATAAGCAATCGTAAACCTAAAAGCTATGGCTTTTCCCTCCCGTTTTGTTTTTGCCTTGGTTCTGTCGGTTGACTTCTTTTTGCACTGGCTCTGGCAAGCAAGAAGGTAAGAACTAAGGGAAAGTTCTGCATTGTAAAGTTTAAATTATTACAATTTAATTATTATAGAGTAAGGACCTTGGTTTGTGATGCCCACATGCCCCCCCAACACACATGATGGCTGGGCTCAAGGGAACGATACTTTCCTCCAACCTATATCTTATTCAAAAGAAGAAGAACCAGTCCATGGTTAAGGCATTCCTAAACCATTTACATATACAATCTTTTGTTTCATCTTCAGCTGTTGGGTTAGCAAAATCCTATCTAGCTTGCCTTTCAGAAGTTCAGATAACCCTCATGATTCCCAACTTCATGCTGATTGAGAATTCTGAAAGTTGTATGCTATCCTTCACCTCATAAAGTACCTGGTTGCAGAAGGCTGACTTTAAGCCTTTACGACTTCTAATAGAATTGAATAATTTTTGTCTACTTCTTTCTTTAGTCTTCATGAAACCTTGGGAGATAACATCTTTGATTATGAGATACCAAATGCATTTTTTCTTCAGATATCTGTTTTTCCATTTCCATTTGTTATTCTTTAATGTCATTTTGCATTGTACTTTGGTGTGATTTAGATTAAGGACACATCTGGGACTGTGGTAAAACCCAGCAGAGTAGTGGAGGAGAAATACCAGGGTTGGAAGATGGGATAATAGAGTAAAAACATTGCATTGTATGTTCACAAGAATGGGAGTAAATTAATAATTGCTTAACAAAGCATTTTCTGATTTAAAAATAAATCTGAAATTGCATTCTTAAACAAACCAGCACACAGAATGAAACATAGAAGGCAAAAGAAATTAGCAATGCATTTGGTACAAAGTCATGTAAGGAGTTTAGAGTAAAGATATGCTTGTCTTAGTGGTATCATGTTACTTTTCTTTCACCATTTTTTTTATTTCTGTTCTTAACATCTAATCTTACAAACAAACTTAAATGTTTTTTTTCTTGAAATGTAGTGTAGTTTTATGAAATCAGATATGAACAGCCTAGCATCATAGATATACAGTATGTATTTCTATAAAATCCAGCTTAATTTTGGCATCTCCAGATGGGTCTGAGATAGATTTCCTGTCCCAAAACCTAGAAAGTCTCTGCTGGTCATTGTAGATATTATTGGGCTAAATGAACTGATTGGTTAAGAAATGGCTTCCTGAGTTCCAGATAAATAATGCAGAGCCTGTTTTAATATCTGAAACATCTAGATATGAAGCTCACTCTATGCTGGACCTTTCTGATTCACGCAGCAAACAGGGACATGAATGGTCTGTGCAGCCTTCAGAGATGGCCACTCACAGTGAAGATTTGTGCATGTCCTGAAGGAAACAATTTGTAAAGAAACTTTGTAGAATATATTAATATTCAGGTGTGGGTGGGTGAGGGAAGTTGCTATCAAGTCAGAGTGGAACACAACAGAAAACATTTCAGATTTCATCCTTCAAGTAGCCCTCAGCTTTAAAATGTTGAAAATAGTCAGGTCAAACCTCTACTAAGAATTAGCTGCTTGGAAGAGGAATAGGTGGACTGCTTAATTCTGTTTATTTCAATGTTATCCCTTCCCCAAATTATCCCTAAATAAATTAGATTTTTAGGAGACAAAAGTTTGCCCATCCATACTTTCATAGGATTGGGTAGTTTGGGACTAACAAATGAAAGAGTAAGACATATTTAGGGGATATTATTTTAAATAGCAATAGCTTTTAGACCTCTCTAAGCAGTTTACAGAGTCAGCATATCGCCCCCCCCCCCCAACAATCAGGCTTCTCATTTTACTGACCTCGGAAGGATGGAAGGCTGAGTCAACTTGGTTAGAATCAAAGGAATCAAACTCCTGGCAATGAGAGCAGAGTTAGCCTGCAGTACTGCATTCTAACCACTGCATCACCACGGCTCTTTATGGCAGTGGAATTTGAGGGGTGAGGATGGCAGATGGGGGTGGGAGGTTTTACATGTAATAGCCTTTTAAAAACTTACACTTTGGAAAGATTATTTTATGGATTTTGGCAATTTACATAATTATCATTTCTAAAGGGCAGGTGAACAAACTGAGAATCATATGTAGTCAAATATACAATGAATGTGCCTGTTTGCATAACAGTTACTGAAATGAGTAATTCACCATAAGGCTATATAGTTCATTCCATGTGCATGGGGTCCTACTGTATATTACCACTTGTAACTGTGGAAATATGCAGTATGGGTAGCTGCACATGGAGAATGCTGAACTTCTAAAACTGTTGGATATGAGAGAATAATATCCCCTATCTTTTTTTTTTTATTATTGAAAATTTTTAAATTTTACAAAAACAAATCCCCTTCCCATACCCCCCCCAACCCTACCTCACCCCCCTCCTCCCCAACCTCCCAAACCCTCCCCTGGACTTCCCAGAGCTGAGTACAGGCTTAATTGAGAAAAAAACTTAAAACACTTTTAAAACCTAAACAAATTTAAATACAATCATCATTCTATATAAACTCCCTCCAAAAACACAAATTTAAACATTACTTTCTTTGAATATCTATACCTATAATGTAAAATCTAATTTCTCCCTCTTTCTTTATCCTAATACAAAAAAATAAATATATAAACCTTTGTTATACCATCAAAACTAAATACTCTTAGAAAACTTAAAGTAAATACATCCCCTATCTTTCTATGATGTATCCAAACAGAGGATTCCCAGGAATACTAATGAAAGGACACATCTTTATATCTTTCTGTTTAACAGACTTCTTTCAATGGTTAAAAACATAGCAAAAATAGGAGGGAAACACAGGAAATTACTCAAACTATGTTTGAGGCAGTACACTTATACAATAAAGGATGTGTCTAAAAGCACTAACGGTGGCACAGATCTCTTCATGCATCTGGTCAGTTACTTGGCAACGAACAAATGCGTTTTTATGCACATAGAATGACTTCTAACTAGCATCTGTACATATTGCTGGGAAAGTTGCTTATTTAACTTGTGCTCTTAAAAATCTGCACAAAAATTATTAAAATGCACTCTTCGTAACCATTTACCATTTTCCCAACAGGTATGTCAGTGTAGCTTGCTACCAGACCCCATTGTTTGTCCTCATCCTTTTTGAAATAAATCATACTTTGGAGGTGGTAAGCAACTTGTGGCACTCCGGATTTTGCTGTATTACACAACTCCTAGAATTATTGGTCACAGTACCTAGAAGTGCTGAGAGTTACTGTATATTTCCACAGCATCTGGAATGTGCTGATTCCCAGGGTTTGTACATATGTAAATATACAGTTGATTTGATATAAAGATCATGTTTGTTTCTATAATTCCATGAGAACAGGACAGCTGCTGTTTCAAAGCCTTTATTCCATCCGTTTGCTTCTTGCATTAGTAGGTTGCCTTATAAAACCTAAAGCCACAATACAAATATAAAATTCAATTGGATGTCCATGATACCAGAGCACAAAATGTTTTATTTTGTTCCTCTACTGCTCTTCTTGCCCACCTTACTGTGCTGTGTACTGTTAGTTTGACCCAGGACAGACCCTGAAAAAGACAAAGCAAATTGTCTTTTCTCTTCAAACTCAGTGAAGTCTGCTAACACTATTCACTCTTTTCCTATTCTCTCTCAACCTTCTTCCTCATCTGGCTTTAGGATGCAATTGTTAAAGGGCTTCTCACTGAGAAAGCCACTGTTTTAAAGAAGAGCATAAGCTGTGTCAGGGTTGTTATTAAAGTCAAGAAGCATAGATAGCATTTTCACCTTAAAGTTATCATTGGGCAGAGACTTTCAATCCTAGGGGGGGGAAAAGGCTGAAAATAATAAAGGCTACTAGGAGATTTGAGTAGAGGATCTCTCAAATTCTGCTCCCTGCCTGCTGTATTCTGTTTTGAAGGTGACCTATGTACCCCAGATTCTAATGGAAGGAGACAAAGATGCAAGATTTTAGCCACGTGTATAAACCATATGTTTTGATAGCTGTGAATGAATTCCTCTGCCTTGTACTGTGAGTAATATGCTGTTTAAATCCAGCAGGTTTGTGAGGCATTTGTTCCATAACGGTGTGTTTTGGCATTGTGTGATTTGACTAATTAAGTGTATTCATTTGCTTATTAAGCTCTCAATTCTCGGTAGGTAATGAGTCATGCAAGAAATATGCTGAATGCTGTATACTTTATTCAGCTGAGGGAAATAATACAGTTTCAGATAATCGGTGTAGTGATAAGGCACTGATATACTGTACGTGGCTCCTATTTTCATTGGGGTATCTGAGAAGAAAATATCATTATTTGTAATGGGCCCAACTATGGACCAGACTCAGTGTGGGATACTGTTTTGCAATCTGAAAGCCACATAGCCAGCATTTCATTGCTTCATCAGTTTTGTGTGCATGTGCAAGTTCCTTCTGTGCAAGCTTTATGAAACTGAATAGGATTGAAAATAGCATCACTGTAGATTGAAAACATTTCCTTTGGTAGAACCACAATGTATAAACATTTCTGCA